TCAATACGCTTAACTTGTCATCAAACAACCTCTTTGGGAAAATCCCCAACCAATTTGATAGCCTCGCTTTTGAAAACAGTTTCTTGAACAATCCAAGTTTGTGTGCTAACAATCTGAGGCTTCCACACTGTAATGAGAAAACACAACCATCTAATCACTTGCCACCCAAGATTATTGATCTTATCGTAGTCTTGGCATCCTTTATTTTCCTTGCATCTATAGGATTACTTTTGTTCATGATTAGATACCACAAGAGGAAGTACCTAAGGCCTGATTTCCCAACATGGAAGATGACCCCATTCCAAAAGTTGGATTTCACCGAAGAAACCATTCTATCTAGTTTAACAGAAGACAATATGATTGGGAGTGGCGGTGCGGGAAAAGTGTACAAGATTACCACCGGGAAATCGGGTGAGTATGTTGCTGTGAAGAAAATACGAAGTGGCAAATCAAAGTTGGATATTGAGCTTGAGAAGCAGTTTCTTGCGGAGGTTGAGATACTAGGTTCAATCAGACACTCAAATATCGTTAAGCTGATGTGTTGCGTTTCAAGCGATGAGTGCTCAAAATTGTTGGTCTATGAGTATATGGAAAATGAGAGTCTTGATAGATGGTTGCATGAACGAAAGAGAGGCGTTATTCAGAATGTGGGATTGGATTGGCCTAAACGACTGCAAATAGCCATTGGTGCCGCTCAAGGCCTCTCTTACATGCACCATGACTGTGTTCCTCCCATAGTTCATCGCGACGTGAAATCGAGCAACATCTTGTTGGATTGCGAGTTCAACTCTAAGATTGCCGATTTTGGTTTAGCAAAAATATTGGCCAAGAAAGGTGATGCTAACACCATGTCTGTCGTTGCCGGATCCTTTGGTTATATTGCACCAGGTATTCCATTTTTTCCCTATTAATATCAACACATTTTTTTCTATGTTATTATGAAAACAATTATTGTTCTATTTGCCTTGTTGATTAAATACAATGCAAATGAATGAACCAACTCAACGAAATCAAAAAGGTTTTACACCCTAGCTAACAAAGAAAATAATATAACTCTTTCAATCATGCAGAGTATGCATATACGCCAAGAGTGAACGAGAAAATCGACATTTATAGCTTCGGGGTGGTGTTATTAGAGCTCGTGACTGGGAAAGAACCCATGTTTGCACGCGGTGAAGAGCACGCAAGCCTTGTGGAATGGGCATATCACCACCATTCAGAAAAAACAGCCATTGATGAGCTCTTGGATGCAGAAATCCAGGAACCGGAGTTATTCCATGAGGATTTAAAGACGGTTTTCATGCTCGGGCTTGCGTGTACGAGCAGGAACCCTTCAAACAGGCCTTCCATGAAAGAAGTCGTGCAAATTCTCCACCATTGCCAACCTCTTCGTCACGTCTTAGAGGGCACGGCGTCCGGGAAAAACCACAATGTGAAGCCTCTACTTGCCAATGACAACATGTCAGCTAGATGAAAGTGATGATAATATACTCTCCTGTTTATATTCAGCTATAACCAAAATGGGATTTTTAGATTTGTTCTTTGAACATTTAACTCGAGTTATTTGAACGTTGTATCCTGAGGTCTAGATTTTAGTAAGTTTCAAACACCAAAATTTAAAGGAAAAAATTACTCTATTGTTTTACAATTGTGCATTTTACATATGTAGTACTCTATATTTCGAGGTTCAATAAATGACAATGATGCTTCGAGAATTTTCATGTGTTTACATTGATGTTGCAACATTGACGAGCATGTTTAAAATGGGGGTTCCAACATTTGGAGTAGAGACATAAACAAATATCAATTATGTGAACACCGTTGCAAACATTTGAAAATTCAAGATACATCGATGTCAGATATTAAATCCAGAAAATTTTTGTAAAATCAAATATTTCTGGAAATAACAATGTGAATTTTTTCATTTTAAAATTTTAATTAAAACTATTAGTGATTCACCCTAAAAAATATCAAACATCAATCACCAAGCTCCGGTAGAAAATCACTGCCAAATTGCCAATGGATCAAGTCGTTAATTCCTTTCCAAATACGGAGTAATATTCTTCATTAATTTATTTGCAAATTTTAATTTTTACGGCAATCTCTATAGTATAGAAGGATGGCTTCACAAAAAAGATATCAAAATCCCCTCTATTTTCAAAATCTATTTGGAAAGTCCATATGATTCTAAATAGATCACAGATTCCCCCTTACCTATTTTTAAAGCAAAAATAACATTTATGTCCTTTCTTTTCTTCTATCTTGAAATTTCATTGTTTTTTCTTTTATTATACAAGTATATAAAATAAAATATAAGCTCCCATTTTTCAATTACTCCATCCGTCCCTAAATAGATTACAATTTTTTCTCTCTCTCCTTTCGATAACTTTTGTTTGTTTATGCGATTTCATTAAGTATTTGATAAAATAAAATATTCTTGTCACCTCTTGTTTTGTAGAACTTTTGACGTAGTTTTTTAATATGTAATTTTTATAACTTATTGATATACGAATTTGTAAATAAAATGATTTCAAAAAGTAGGAAATTTTACTCCGTAACCCGCAATTTGCAATCAAATTGGGGACGGAGGGAGTATGTACTTTTGAAAACAAAATATTTGTTTTGGAGAATGCTTCAAAAGAAGATGAAAAATAAAATACTCTCTCCGTCCCTAAATAGATTACCCGAATACAATTTTTTTCTCTCCTCTCGATAACTTTTGTTTGTTTATGTGATTTCATTAGTTATTTGATAAAATAAAATATTCTTGTCACCACTTGTTTTGTAGAACTTTTGACATAGTTTTTTAATATGTAATTTTTATATTTTATTGATATACCAATTTCTAAATAAAATAATTTCAAAAAGTAGAAAATTTTACTCCGTAACCCGCAATTTGTAATCAAATTGGGGACGGAGGGAGTATGATGTAAAAAGTAGAAAAAAAATTGAAAAAGGTAATGAAAAGAAATAGAAATATTAAAAAAACAGTCTTTTTCTTTAACTTCGTATATTATTTTATTTCATCTTTCTGTTCTTCATTTTTCAAAGTCCTTTAAAAAATTATTTTACTTGTAAGAAACAAATAAGTTAGAATTTTTTATTAGAGATAAAGTGAGTATGTGTTATCTAATTTTTTTATTTCATTTATTTTACTTTTAATTATAATAAAAATTGTATTTTATTTGATTTTTTTATTTTTCATTTCTTTTGTAACATCTTCTAAAAGAATATTTTTTAAAAAGATAAATAAATGAAAAATTTTAATTTGAGAAAGAGGGCATATATTTTATTATATTTATTTGTATAATAAAAAATGGAAATAAAAGAGTGAAATTTGAAGATAGAGAAAAACAAATGGCATAAGTATCATTTTATTTCTAAAAATAGGCAAGAAGGAACGTCTCTGCACAATTTAAAAAACATAGAAGTTTTACAAATAACTTTTGAAAATAGATAAAATTTTGGCACCCCACCCATGCTATTAACCTATTATGTAATGATGATACAAATTAATTAATCTCTAAATTCAATTAAATCCGTGAAATTGTGGGTAAAACTTGACTTCCGCATGGAATAAGGGTGCTGTTTTACTTTTGTTGAAATAAAACTCATTATTTAATTAGCACAAATTAAAGCATACCGTGTTGGACTGAAAAAAAAGGTTTGCCGTGTTTGCAAATAAAATTGCAATTTCCAACTTGATACAAAAAAAAAAGATAGGATGTTTGACTTGATTTTTATTTAAAACACTTTTTTTACTGTCTAATGCCGAGTAATTTTTATTATACGCGTATGTTCACGAAAAATCCAAAGATAGAAAGATAATCATTTATTATAATAATGACAGTAATGATGTGTGATGATTGATAATAATAATACTAATAATAATAATAATAATAATAATAATAATAGTATAAGAAGTAATGCCCTAAAAATTTGAGGAAGTATGCCTCATGATTCTGAGTAATAATTTAGTGGAGGGTTAATACACAAAGTATGAAAAGTTTCTTTGAATTACATAAACATATCTCATGTTATTCTTTACTTTTTATACTTACAACGTTATGCTAGTGGCGAATATTTTGGTAGACCTAATGTCCATCATAGACCTACATATGTGTAAATTTAGCATTTTCTTACTGCTTAAATAAGCATTTGTTTTTTAATAAAAAATAAATTTTTTTATGTGAGAAGATTCACAAAAATTATATGCACCCACAGACCACAGTGCTCTAAATAAGCAGTCTATGCAGTAGGTGCCAAAACAATTCTAATCTAATTTAGTGTTTCTGTCAATTTTAGCACTCCCTCGGACTCAAAAAGTCTTTCTTGTTTTAACTTTTTTTAATCAAACAGTGACACTCTATGACCATAAATTATGAAATATATATATAATTATAGTATAAATGTCAATATAATTGAGTCATCTTAATATAAATTTCAATATAATTGAGTAATCTTATTTAACTATTTAGATTAGGTTTAATTAGTAGTAAAAGAATGTCACTGTTTGACCAAAAAAGTTATATCAAATTTTTATATTATTTAACTATTTAGGTTATGTTTAATCAATAGTCAAAGAATGTCATTGTTTGACCAAAAAATCAAAACAAGAAAGATTTTTACAAGCTAATGAAATATATAAAATTTTTTAGGCTTACTATGACAAACTTGAGTATTGGTTGAATTGGTTCTTGGCAGAGGTGATGTCTAATTGATACTACCACCTCCGTCCTAGAGTATTTGTCCACTTTCATTTTTACATATCATCCAATATACTTCTTTAATCCATTTTATCTTGTACTTTGTATATTAAAAAATTATACAAATTATATATTAATAATATATATGTTAAGACAAATCAAACAAGATCACACATGACTATATTTAAGCTTACATATTGAGAGAATTTGATGAGTCAAAGTGCTTAGATGAACAGTTCCAAAAGTAAAAAATGGACGAATACTTCGGGACGGAAGAAGTACAATAAAAAAACAATACAATTCCCCACTTTATATGATCAACATAAAAATCAAGAATGATGGTTTCCCTAGATCATGGGGAAAAACTAATCTTTAATTGAGACATCCACATTGCTGTTACTGTATAGCTCATGCAAAGAGCTTCACTTCCATGACATCACTGTTGTTCTTCTCCCTCTCCTTGCACCCTCTAACCTTAACCATGACCAGTGCAACAACAATGGCGAAAACAACGAAAGAAGCGACCGGAACCACCACGACAACCCATCGCTGAACGCGATGGTGTTTCGGGACACGACATTGGAGGAGCTTCAAGGTGTCGCCGCAGAGATCGGGATTGTTCAAGAAACTGTTCTCAAATGCCACATTGTCAAACTGAGGTGGGATTTCCCCAGAGAGCCTGTTGGAGGAGAGATTAAGGTCAGTGAACCTCAGATGTCCTAATTCAAGTGGAATGGCCCCAGAGAGCTGGTTTTGTGACATGTCAAGAACAAGAAGGTTGGACAGTAATGAAAGGGCTTTTGGGATTTCCCCAGAAACATTGTTTCTTGCAATGTTTAACACAGTCAACCGTTTCCAGGACAAGATCTTGTCTGGGAGTTCGCCGGAAAGCGAGTTTCCGTCGAGCTTCAGCTCGGTGAGCTTAGAGAGGGCAGTGAACTCTTCCGGGATCCGACCGGAGATCAGATTGTTACTGGCGTGGAGCACGACAATGCTACCCAGTGATGATGAAACTCCGCGGGTCGGGATTTCCCCCGAAAACCGGTTGTTGTCGATCTCTAACCGGGTCAAATTCCCGGCCATCTTACCGGGAAACTCGCCGGAGAATGAGTTGTTGCTGATCAACACCCTCGCCATGCTCTTCAGTGTCCATAGCCATGGCTGAACCTTCCCTGTCATATGGTTATTATAAAGCTGAATAGTTTCCAAGGTGTCACAGTTCTCAAGCGATCGTGGGATTTCTCCCGTTAAGTTGTTATTAAACACTACTAAGCCGCGCAGGGCATTGCCGGCGCATAAATTTTCCGGCAATGTTCCGGCGAGTCTATTATCACTGACTTCCATTCCTTCGAGTTTGGAATGAAGCCCCATCTCAGGTGGCAAAATCCCACTCAGATTATTAGTGAAAACTTTGAATTGTTTCAGAGATGGGATTCGGCCTATTCCGGGTGGAATTTCACCCGATAACCGGTTCCAAAAGAGGGCTAAAACCTCCAGTCTCTGCAACTCTCCGAACCCGCCCGGGATCTCTCCGGTCAACTTGTTGCCGGAAAAATCCACCTCGACCAGTGTAGAATTCTCGGCGAAATCGGATGGAATTGAACAGGAAAGCTGGTTATTATACAAATATAGGTTCTTGAGTTTTGGGAGCAGAAACAATCCTCGAGGGATTTCACCATCTAAATGGTTCATGGCCAAATCCAATTGCTCCATGTTCCACAAATTCTCGAAGCTTTTGGGAATTTCTCCGATCAAATTCGTCGACGCCCACCAGCTGAAATTGAGCTTCTTCAGGTTACCGAACTCCTCCGGGATCCGGGACGGCGAGAAGTAGTTGTACGCCATTTCTAGGGTTTCGAGATTTGACAGATTTCCGATTTCTACTGGGAAGGTGCCGTTGAACAGATTGGCAGACAGCTTCAGATCCCGCAGCTCCGACAAGTTCCCGACGGCGCGCGGGATGTCGCCGGTGAAATTGTTTGCGCCGAGGTTCAGGTACCGGAGAAGCCGGAGCCGATCGATGTCGGTAGGAATTGGGCCCACGAAGTAGTTGGAAGAGAGGTCCAGGTACTGTAGCTTCGAACAATTGAACAGGAACGTCGGGAATTCGCCGGGAATGTAATTGTCGGAAAGATCGAGCGTGGTGAGGTTCCTAAGATCGCAGATTTCACTCGGAATTTCGGAGGTAATGTTGAAGTTGTAGAGGGATATTCCGGTGACCGACCCGTCGCCGGAGCAGGTTATCCCCGGCCAGCTGCACGGAGAAGAGGCGGAGGAGGTATTCTCGCTCCACCCTCCAAGTGACGGCGGGTTTCCAAACTGCGATTTCACTTGCAATAAGACGTCACGCTCCGTCGCCGGAGATTGTGAATTTGAAATCATTGAAGTAACAGAATTTACCGCAAGGGACATGAATGAATGGGGGAGGAAGAAGATGATGACAAGATAAAAATAAGGCAATAGTTTAATTGTTGCCATTTTTTTTACTGTGGAGAAGTACTGGCCGTATGTGGTAAATTTATAGCAGCCACAAAAAATTTACCTAAATAACACTTTCCTGTTTTTAATTCTACTTGCCTTTCACCTTTAAAGAACGGAATATTAGGGGCTCTTTAGAAATAACATTAGAGATTAGCGCTAATGTTTTGAAAAGATTATCTACGGACAACGTTTAGTGTTAACGTTTTCACAGTAATCTGTACCTTTAAAATTTTATTCAAAATGCTGACGTTAATCCCTAACGTTATTCCAAAAAGAGCTTTTACCATAAAATAGTCGGTGTATGTTGGACAGTTGAGAAAGTGGAGTTCCCAGGAGTGGACTCGGGTTTGATTCCTGGTAGCCGCGCTGGAAGACACTTATAATAAGCATAGTGCTAGTACAAGTATCAAGTGCAGGCTTCGACCAATTTACAATTAAAGTTTAATTTATATATCCTTTTAGTTACTGTATGTTCGAGTCTAAGGTGACTTTCAGGATTTTTTATTTACCATAAAATAAAAACTCCGTTAGAGAGAAGGCGTAGCTAAATTGGTAAAAAGAAAAAGTACTCCTCTAGTGGAGGAATATGTAAATTCCATTTTTGACAATGAGAACAAAAGATTGTTTATTTCTATATGACTTCAATCTTGATATATTTACGGATTGACTTTTGAATTGTAAATCACTTTCAAATCAGATTAATTTTAATGCTTCTTCAAAAATTCTTTAATAAAATAAGACAAAACTTAGAGAACCAAATATGAATTTTTCCAATGAATAATTTACCTAGATAGGACTAAAACATAATGACTTTCTCAATATATAGGAACATTGGTCATTATCTATTAGTCATTATTCAATTACATTTCTAGCATCACTTGGACATTTTTCTTCTCACTAGACATTATTAAATAGAATATAAAAATTTAAGTCCTGCATCGAGAAATGACTTACTCCCTCCGTCCTAAAACTTTCTTCCCGTTGCGCAAAACGAAGAAAAATCTAAAGTTTTTTCAATTTTTTTTTGTTTAAATATTGGTATAGAAATAAAAAATAAAACATACATATTTAAAAACTACATCAAAAGTTCAACAAAACAAGTGGTGACAAGAATATTTTATTTTATCATATAGGTCATGAAAAAACAAATAAATATAAATTCTCGTGAAGTTGGAATAGTGCTCTGTGAAGAAAGTTTTAGGACGGAGAGAGTATGTTTTAGTCTTCTTCACTGCAAATTTCACTTTTTCCTATTCTAATCATAGTGAAGGTATATACACTCTCTATTCCCAATCAATTAGCCTCTTTAATTGATATATTTTGCATTATTAATTATGGATTAATTAATTATTAATTACTTAGATGCTACTTAGAAAAATTAATTATTATTAATTAATTATTAATTACTTAGATGCTAGTCATGCTACTTAGGAAAAGAGGTAAAATCTCATAGCGCGTTCCTATGAGTTCAAAAGTCAAAGTTATGCTCCAATAATTCTCTTTGTCAAAGTTAATTTTTACGGAGTATTAATTTCCAGATCAAAAGTATGACTCATAAAGATAAAGTTTATTTGGATTTATTTCTCAATCGGACTATGCGTGTAAGTTCTTCGAAGTACTCCGTCTTCCCTAGCTAAATAAATGTCATTTTATAAGTTGAATAGACAATAAAAACTAAATATGAGTTGACAATTTATAAAAAAAACAAAAAAGAATTGAAATGCACTGAAACATAGTAAAATTAAAAAACCAAAATACATTTATATTTAATCAGATAATAATTAATAGTATTTCAGAAAAATAATCAGACAAATTTAAAAGTGTGGTAAGAGAGCTTGTATCTAAAGCTGTCTTGCAGTTTTTTCGAGATGGAGTTACTCTCCAATAGATTAACCATACCATTATTAGCCTCATCCCTAAGGCAGATTGTCCAGAATATCCTTGTGACTTTAGATCAATAGCATGCTGCAATGTGATTTATAAGGTAATATCAAAAATTATTTGTACGAGGCTAAAGGTGGTTCTTCCCTAGATTAACAATTCCAATCAAGGTGCATTCATTGAAGGCAGGGAACTGGTGCACAATGTCCTCCTATGTCAGGAATTGGCCAGAGGATATAATAGAAAGGGTATCCGTCCAAGATGTTTGATGAAACTTGATTTAAGAAAAGCTTATGACCTAATTAGTTGGAAAGGCTTGTGTCAGATTATGGAGACATTGAAGTTCCTAAAGAAATTCGTCACCTGGATTCAATTTCGTGTTACAAATGTTGCCTACTCAGCACAACTTGGAGGTGAGGTATTTGGTTTCTTCAAGGGAGGGATATAAATTAGACAGGGTGATCCAATGTCCCCCTTGTTATTCACTCTTATAATGGAATATCTCACAAGAACTTTTAGCTTCTACCCAAAAAAATAACTGCTTCAAGTATCATCCAAGATGCAAAGCCCTTAAACTTATCAACATAATGTTTGCTGGCTTGCAAAGCTTGTCTTCAGTTAGTTGAATGCATTATCTCTAGTCTTGATCATTTCAAGAAAACAACTGGGCTACATCTAAACTATGACGAGTCTCAAGTGTTCGTAGGTGGTGTAAGTGAGGATTGTTATTACACCATACTGGAGAGAACCAATATGACTAAAGGAACTTTCCCTTTTAGATATCTGGGAGGCCCCATAACTACCTGGACTACTAAACATCTATCTTATGCTAGAAGAACAAAATTGATCAACTCAATTTTGTATGGTGTATTGTTCTTCTGGAATAGAATATTCTTGTTACCCAATAATGTTATGAATAAGATTATGGCCTTTTGCAGGAACTTTTTTGGAGTTCGACACCTGAGTACAAGAAAAGTTCCCTTATCAAAGGGAGAAAGTCTGCACATCTAAACAATGTAGGCTGGGACTGAAGAACTTAAAACTTTGGAACCAGGCCTGCATCATGAAACTTACGTGGGATATAGCCAATAAAAAGGATTCACTACGAGTCAGATGGGTTCATAGAAAATATCTCAAGAGGGGCTCTATTTGGATTATACTATTAAAGCTGGTGATTGCTATTATTGGAAAAAATAGATTCAAAACAAAAGGTTTTTCTTGGGCATAAGTACACCTAATAGCTACAGCATAAAGGATGGATACAACTGGCTAATAGGCACACATGAAAGAGTAGAATGGGTTGATTTAGTCTGAAATAAATGGTCAGTTCCTAAACATAGTTTTATTGCTTGGTTGATATGGAAAGATAGATCCCTTACTAAGGATAGATTGAATAGATTTATCCGTATAGTTACAGCAGGATATCTCCTTAGATTCTATTGATGAGTTGGGTAAGAAAATGAGGTTGGGAAAGAATATGAAAGATTGAAGGCTCATTGCTACATGTATTACAACATGCTGCCATTGGATGTGGAAGGCCAGAAACATGAAGATTCTTGAAATGTGATGTTTCTTGTTTCTTGAAATGTGATGTTTTTATTGAAGTTTATGGTTTGAGGTGGTTGTTGTGTGTAGTAAAGCCATAGAGGGTATGTGGACTTGTATATTAACCTTCTTGATGTTTAATATGATGTGCTTTGTTCAAAAAAATATATATAATTGATCATTTAAAGCAAAAAATTCATATTTAGTTGTAATTGATCGTTTAAATGATTTTTTTGTAGTAAATACACCATGTAATTTATTTTTAATTATCTGTAAAAGGCCAGCTGTGATTATGCAAAAAAATAAAATTTACACTAAATAGTACTAAAACATACTCCATCCGTCCCTAAATAGATTACAAATTGCGGGTTACGAAATATAATTTTGGAAAAATTGATATAAATACTCCCAGAAATTTGAAATTTCACAATAATACTCCCAAATTCAATAAAAGACTCTGGTGCTCTCAATTAAACTATAAGTTTACACTACTACTCACACTATCTCTAATCAACTTTTCTTATGCTTACATGTAATTAATTATGCTTAGTTGACATCTTAGTTGTTGTTTTTTGTTTTAATAAGAGGAAAAAATTATATAAATACTCATAGAAATTCAAAATTTTACAATAATTCTCCCAAAATCAAATAAAGACTCCAATTCTCCTAAAAGTATATTCTTGTTGCACGTTACTATATTTGACTGAAATTATTTTTAAAGTATTTTATATGAAAAATGGTGTAAAATTAAAAAATAAAAATTACATATTAAAAACTAATATAGTAATATGTAAAAATAATTTTTTTAGTAAAAATATCCCTCTGTCCAAAAATTATCTTCTCATTCACTATCAAGAGTATTAACAAGATCAAATTTTATTTACTTTGCTTATCTATTTTAATTATGTATTTGATAAAATAATATAATTATATCATTACTAGTTTTATAGATCTTATAATGTAGTTTTTAGATATATAATTTTATTTTTTGATTTCACACCACCTTTATTAAACATCATAACACGTAAAAGGAAGATATTTTTTAGAGTACTGAAATCTTTATTTGGTTTTGAGAGATTATTGTAAAATTTTGAATTTCAGAGAGTATTTATACAATTTTTTTCTCCTATTAAAACAAAAAGAACAACTAAGATGTCAACTAAGCATAATTACTTACATTAAGCATAAGAAAAGCTGATTAGGAATAGTGGGAGTAGCTATGTAAACTTATAGTTTAATTGGGAGCACGAGAGTCTTTTATTAAATTTGGGAGTATTATTGTAAAATTTCAAATTTCTGGGAGTATTTATATCAATTTTTCCTATAATTTTCTACCTTTTGAAATTATCTTATTTACAAATTGGTATATCAATAAGATATAAAAATTACATATTAAAAAACTACGTCAAAAAATCTACAAAATAAGAGGTGATAAGAATATTTTATTTTATCAAACACTCAATGAAATCACATAAACAAACAATAGTTATCGAGAGGAGAGAAAAAAGTTGTAATCTATTTAGAGAAGGAGGGAGTATGTCATTTTCCGATGTAATACTTAAACTTTTTTATTTCCTAAATTATACTTGAATAATGTCTAGTACTATGACTAGTGTTACTACATTGAGAAATAAAAACATATGGTACCATATTGGAAAACAATCACTAAATTTTAGTACTATTTAGATAAATTTCTCGCAAAAAAATCAAAATAAAACAAATAATCCAAAACGCTGGAAAATATATAATTTCACATACCATAAACTCAAGCAAACTATACAAGTATATAGAACAATATAGCATCACCACTAGATTAACAATATAAGGCCGGCTCTGACTTTGCAAAAAAAAATAAAGTTTACACTAAATAATACTAAAACATATGTCATTTTCCAATATAGTACTTAAATTTTTTTATTTCCTAAATAATACTTGAATAACATCTAGTATTATGACCGGTGGGTACTATATTAAGAAATAAAAATATATGGTACTTTATTAGAAAAGTCATTATATTTTAATACTATTTAAATAAATTTTTCTCAAAAAATTTAAAATAAAACAAATACTCCGAAACGCCAAAAATATATAATTTCACATACCATAAACTCAAGCAAACGATACAAGACATAGAACAATATAACATCACCACTACATTAACAATATATTGTTTCCTTAATTATTTGGGTAAAAGTCTAAAATATGTTACCAAGTGATGCCTCTTTGATTTATGCACAAAAATGATAAAGACTTTAGGTCAAACAAAGANCCCCCCCCCCAAAAAAAACCCCACACCCTCCACATGAGAATTCATGTAAACGGCTTTACTTCCGAGACATCACAATCGTTCTTCTTCCTCTGGTTGCGCCCTCTAACCTTAACTATGATCAATGCAACGATAATGGCGAAAGCAACGAAAGAAGCGATTGGAATCACGACGAGAACCCATCGTTGAAAGCGATGGTGTTTCGGAACGCGACATTGAAGGGATTCCAGGGTGTCTCCACAGAGACCAGGATTGTTCAAGAAACTGTTTTCAAATGCCAGATTGTCAAACTGGTGTGGGATTTCCCCAGAAAGCTTGTTGGAGGAGAGGTTCAGGCCAGTGAGCCTCAAATTGCCTAATTCAAGCGGGATTGAACCAGAGAGTTGGTTCTGGGAGAAGTCAAGAACAAGAAGGTTGGATAATGATGAGAGGGCTTTTGGAATTTCACCAGAAACATTGTTTCTTGCAATGTTTAAGGTGGTCAGCCGTTTCCAGGACAGGATCTTGTGTGGGAGTTCGCCGGAAAGCGAGTTCCCGTCGAGCTTCAGCTCGGTGAGCTTGGAGAGGGCAGTGAACTCTTCCGGGATCCGACCTGAGATGAGATTGTTACTGGCATGGAACACGATCACGCTCTTGAATGATGATGATGATGCCGGGATTTCCCCTGAAAACCGGTTGTTGTTGATCTCTAATCGCGTGAAATTCTCGGGTAACTCGCGAGGAAGCTCGCCGGAGAACGAGTTGTTGCTGATCAGCACACTCCTCAGGCTCTTCAGTGTCCATAGCCATGGCTGAACCTTCCCTGACATCTGGTTATTGTAAAGCTGAATGGTTTCCAAGGGGTCACAACCCTGAAACGACCGTGGGATTTCTCCGGTCAGATTGTTATTAAATGCTGCTACGCCACGGAAGGCCTTCCTGGCACACAGATTCTCCGGCAACCTTCCGGTGAGCCAATTATCACTGATTTCCAAGGTTTCCAGCTTAGAATGAAGCCCCATCTCAGTAGGCAAAATCCCACTCAAATTATTTCCAAAAACTTTGAAAACTTTCAGAGATGGGATTCGGCCTATTCCGGGTGGAATTTCACCGGACAATCGATTCCAAAAGAGAGCTAAAGATTCAAGTCTCTGCAACTCTCCAAATCCGTCTGGGATTTCACCGGTCAGGTTGTTCTGCGACAAATCCACGGCAACCAATTTCGAGTTCTTCGCGAAATCGGACGGAATTGGGCCGGAAAGCCTGGTGTTCCATAGATATAAACTGGTGAGGTTTGGGAGGAGAAACAATCCTCGTGGGATTTTACCGTGTATACGGTTCAAAGCCAAATCCAATTGCTCCATGTTCGACAAATTCTCGAAGCTTTTGGGAATTTCTCCGATCAGATTCGTCGACGTCCACCAGTTGACCTTGAGATTCTTCAAGTTACTGAGCTCCTCGGGGATCGGCGACGGGGAGAAGTTGTTGTACGCCATTTCTAGGGTTTCGAGATTGGATAGATTTCCGATTTCGACGGGGAAGGTGCCGTTGAAGAGATTGCAACAGAGCTTCAGATCTCGGAGATCCGGCAAGTTCCCGATGGAGCGCGGGATGTCGCCGGTGAAATTATTTGAGCCGAGGTTCAGGTGCCGGAGCTCTCGGAGGCGGTCGATGTCGCGAGGAATGGTGCCGACGAAGTAGTTCTGAGAGAGGTCCAAGTACTGTAGCTTCGAACAGTTGTACAGGAACGTCGGGAACTCGCCGGGAAAGTAATTGTAGGAAAGGTTGAGTGCGATGAGGTTCTTAAGGCCGCAGATTTCCCTCGGAATTTCCGTGGTGATGTTGTAGTTGTAGAGAGCTATTCCGGTGACCGATCCGTCGCCGGAGCAGGTTATCTCCGGCCAGCTGCACGGAGAAGAAGGGGGGGAGGTATTATTGCTCCACCCTCCTAGCGACGGCGGGTTTCCGAAGTGCGATTTCACTTGCAGTAAGACGTCACGCTCCGTCACCGGAGATTGTGAATTTACTGCAAAGGACATGAATGAATGGAGGGTGAACGTGATGACGAGATAAAAATAAGACAAGGGTTGATTTGTCGCCATTTTTTTTACCGTGGTGGATAAGAAGTTTGAGTGGTTTGGTAAACAAATTCAAACTAGGGAATGAAGAAGCATTAACCGTTTGTGGTAATTTATAGAAGACACAAGTTTTAAAAGTTTATTTCACCCATATTTCTTAGAGTAAATATAGTCTATTTTTTTTATCTTCTGTCATTTTAGTGTTAATTTAAAAGCTATAAATATAATTTTAGAATGATACAATATCTTTTTTGTCGTACATAATTCTGGAGGCTGCTCCTGATGCATCATTTGTGAATCTCAGTTGTTGTTTACTACAATCATCTACTATCACAGTCATTATTGTTGAGTTGTCGTCTATCCGACACCAAAATATGTTTCTCGACATAAATTTGATGTCAAATTATATTTTTAGCTCTCTAATTAATAATAACATATAGAAGGTAAAAAATGATTTGTAGAAAGGTATTCATAAGAAACGTAGCGTGGCAAAAGCATTCTTCCTTAGAGCATTCACAATGACAAAGCAATGCCTTGTCTTGCCATGCCATGTTAGCAAATTCCACTCAAATCATGGCATTCCATGGTCATTCCACCCCACTTTTCATTCCATGTGCAAGGCATGATTCTCTCATTTTTTTATTTTTTTAATATTTTTAATATTTGTAATTTTTGAAAAAAGTATTTTTTTTAAAGAATTAAACATATTTTAATAATAAAAATGATTTTTAAAATTATTTTTTATAATTAAAAATCATTAAAAAGTACAAAAATAGACAAAAACAATGACTTGTCACTGTATGTTACGACATTCCACTCATTTGTCATATGGTCACTGGGTTACTTTTTATTGATTGAAATAATTCATGTCACCGTGTGACATTTCATTTTTGCCTTGCCATTGTCAATGCTCTTAACTTTCCTAGGCATGTGCGAGACAATTTCTTTTTAGTTTTTTCTTTTTTTACAAAAAAAAATTAAAAAAAATAGGATTACATTTTTTTATTAAAAAAAGATAAGTAAAATAGTTTTCAATAACTAAAATACATTTAAAAAGTGATAAAAATAGTTACTAGCCATTGCAAGTCATGCCACTGCACTTATTTGCCAAACACTAACTTGCTAAAATATTCCACGCTACTGTGTGACATTCTGTTTTTTTCTTCTTCTCATTGTTTATACTCTAAACGAAGGACCATAGGCGTAATATGGAGTATATGATAACATTCTACGGAACAAGTTCCCCTTTTGGAGTAGGGCTCTCATATTATAACACTTCATACATATATTTAGTTGATTGAAACAAGAAAAAGTAGAAGAAAAATCTAAATATATATATTAAATCATAATTCATAAAGATTTCTTAATTTTTCTTTATGACATCATGGCTATAACTTTTTAGGTATAAGTATTTATATTTATTTTTAGATAAAACATAAATAACTTTATTTATTAATTTTTTGAACTATTTTTAGAAGATCATAAAATAAGTATACTAAATAATTATTGTGTTTCTTTTTATAAATAATTGAAAGTTTTATTGAAATCAACACAATCCATATAATCTATTTATAACAACATGTTTAGTAGCTCATGTGTGTGGGCAGTGTGGCATACCAAAGGATTGTGGATGGGCCTTAGCATCTTAGGCCTAATTACAATTAAATAAACAAATTTAGTCGGGTTCGTATTTGGCCCCTCCCAATATATCCATTATAAATATTTTTCCTATTTTATTTTTACGTATTATTCTATTAGAAATAAAATATTATTATTTGAGTACTGCTAGAATCATAAACAAAACACTTACAAAATTTACAATCTTACCTTTTGTGCATTTACATATTTATTTTTTATTTTTTGAAACCATTTTTTGATAACTTTATTTTACATATTTAGCAAGATTGTAAATTTTGTGATTGATTTATTAGTGATTCTAGGATTACTTTTATTATTCATTACTTTAATTAATAAGAACAAACCCAATAAAGTCTCTTTAAAATGTAGGTCTGGGCAAGATGTGTTAGCAGATGTATTAGAATTTGGTGTTAATGGATTTATTATTGGATCCAGAATTAAGTCAAGGTAACATCTTGAATAAATACCGAGATTGTGTTTAAAAAAATAAAAAAACTATGCAATTTCTTTTAAGTTTTACAATTTTTATACTCAAATTTTACCCATATTTTAGAATTAGAGACTATTTTTAAAAGATTCCATGATTTAAATATAGAGTATTAAAATATAAAAGTACAGACAAAGTAAAGAATATTATTGCGAGAGTCGTGCTTTCGAGTGTGCACGTGATCCCTATTACTCTATGTTCATTCAACTTTTGATATATTTCAAAAATCATATTATTAAAACTTAAATAATTGTGAATGTAATGTTAAATATTATATTATAATAGAATCAACATCACTAGAATAAAGGTGTGTATTAAAATATCTTCTGGATCCAAGAAAGTCAAATTTGGCCCTTTTGGAATAGAGAAAGAGATTCTTTTTCATTTTGGACACATTTCTATAGTCAAACTGTTGTGCCCAATCAGATCAATAGAAGGGTAACGTAAAGACTTAGCAATTAGGAAAGGTTATTGGACTTGCTAAATTAGGCTTATAAGAATACTAATCATGAGTCAATTAAATATTGAAAAATTTATGTCAATACCCTAAAAAATCCACCATTTTATATCATCACTCCCAAATTTAACAAATTACATAGTTGCTCCGAGAAATAATTTATTTTCACATAATAATAAACCTAGAACATCAATTTGGGGAAGAAGATGTACAACAACTTTTTAAAACTTGTTCATATAACAATAAACTTACAACATCAATTTTAATAAGCTATTTATATTTACTTAAAAACTAGTATTCCACATTTCCACCCGTGCGTTGCACGGCAAAATTCAAAGTATAGATTTTTAGATTTTTTTATTTAATTTTAATTAAAGATCACTGAATTGTGTCTTATAGCTAAGGAGGGTGTTCAATCGGATCGATCCGATCCGAAAATTCGAATATCCGAAAATTTCGAATCATGTAAAACTCATTCCATATCCGATCCGAAAATATTCGGATATTCGAAATTTAGATATCCAAATTTTTGGATCGGATCACTGGATTATCCGAAAAATTGACTTTTTAGCCAAAATTTACAAAAAAAAGGTAAAATAGCAAAATCAACCCACAATATGAAATTCAATATAGATTTACTAAAAGCAAATTCCACCACTAGTTAATGACCTAATAAAAAAATGATACCAAATTCAATTTGGGAGTAACTTTGGTAATTTTGCCTAAACATACAAAAACAAAAGCACTACTAAAACAAAAAGTTCCAAAATGCTAATGCAAAAAGTCCAAAATGCTTAAGTTCCAAAATCAACTTAAAATTGCATTAAACATATAACCATAATATATATCCATAAAATTCCATTAAACATGCATGTAGAAAAAAAATCGGATATCCGATTATCCGAAAAATTCCAGAAATCGAATCCATATCCGATTCGATTTTTTTCGGGTATCCGATCCGAAATATCCGAAAGCTAAAATATCGGATCGGATATCCATTTTTCAGATCGGATCTACCCAGATCGTGGACGGATATTTCGAATCGGATATTTTTGAACACTTCTAAGCTAACCGATAATTGTTTTTTATTGGTAACGTAGTCTACGTGTTAAGTATATTAAGATTTAAGTTAAAGAAGTACTATGTACAATTTGTAAATATAGTGAATTTTTTTAAATAGTTGTTATGAGTAATAATCTGTTTGTAAAAGAAAAATTACGATTTTAAATATTTGATAAATGCAAAAGTAAATTGTAAGTAAATAATAAACTTTACAAAATGTAATTAAATAATTTGGAAAACTTCTTTGTATACAACATTGGTAGTCTCGTAATCAGGTTTATCTACATTGTTACATATCAAAATCTTTAACTCCAAACGACTTCTAACACTAGACATGACAACGTACAATTGTCCATGACTAAACATCGATTTTTTTAAATAAAACGCTAATCTTAGATAGTGAATATCCTTGACTCTTATTTTTGTTCATCGCATAAAAAACCATAATTGGAAATTATTTTCTTTGAAGTTTGAAAGACATTCTTGTATCATATAGGAAGCAATATATTTTCACCAGCATTACTTCCAGTAATAACTCTAGCCTGTAACATGCGACCTTCAAGTCTTGTAACAATTAGTCTTTTTCCATTACACAAACCATTAGCATAGTCAATATTGCACATTAGTTTAATTAAAATAATCAACATATTTTTTTCCTTTAATTAAAATAAACAATACATATTTAAAAACAAAAGGTAAGAGATATGTGATAGTAGGGACCGCCCTTCCCTCGTGAACCCAACTCTTTAGTTTCAAAGTCAACTTTATAAATTGTTACCACCTCACCACTTTGTAATGGATAAAGCTAGCAGGTGAGCGTTGCGCAGTTGGCAAGACAAGGGATGCCAAGGGGGTAACAAGTTCGATTTTTACTTTTTGGCAATTGCGTTGAGAGACAACTATGCTAAGCATATGATCTCTGCAAGTACCAGGTGTAAGCTCCATTTTTTGTTACCAATCTGCGATGAAAGTCTAATTTACCTCCTCTAGTGATCGTCTAGCCGGGTCTGAGAGGACCCTAGGGGATGAAGCTCAATTTTTTTTTGTAATGGATAAAGCTAGACTTTTGGGTTTCAACCAATACCAAAAACTCACCATTACCACCACTCTTAAATAGTTATATGACATCACACTAAATAGTTGTTAACAAATTCTTTGATCTTATTTTCAAATTATTTTATTTTTAAAATGTAAAATATTCATAAGAAAATAAATTCATATAGTTAAAAATTACATCAAAACATCTACAAACAATTAAATAAGAGATAACACGATTATATTATTTTATAAAATGATAAATAAAAAATACTCTGCAATATATAAACAATTGAAATAGTTTAACAGTGTAAGTAGTACTCCCTTTGCCGCGCTGTAATGTTCCACAATTGGACGAACACAGAAATTAAGAAAATTGAATTTGTAGGATTAAAATTGGTGTAGAGGAAATAGAAACAATAATAACCACAAAAACTTTTCCAAAAGTCGAAGGAGAACTTTTTTTTGCGACGGATGAAAAAAGAAATTTAAAGCATTATTACAGGACAAAGGGAGTGACTATTAGACAATTTCAGAATTGTTCATGCATTGTACAAACACTGTTATGAAACTTGAACCTCCACAATGTGGAGCGCAAATGTGTGCGGATGGGGGCACGTATATGGCCCCACCCGAGTCGCATTCGCCTCCAGATTGTCCTAGGTTGTTCTATCGTAATGGGTATTCTTCCTCGCACATTCCAATATTGTTTTGTCCGCGGTGATGAAGTATGCAGCAATGGAAGCTGCAATGCCGGATGTAAAATGAATTCGTTAGCTTATGAGGTAGTTTGGAAAGACAAAAGAGACCCTACAAGTGAAGCATTGTAAGACAAGTGTTGTAACAAGACTAGACACCCACCCTAGAGACTAGGGCCTGGGGAGTAGTCACGACCTAGTAAGGATTGGATTATGCTAGAGTCACACCACAAATGACACCGAGGGTGATACTGACAGTGACTACCGTCTACCAAACAATGAAGGTCTCTTTGGGGTTAAAAGGGTCTTGCTATATCAACCCTTGTTTTGGCTATATCCACTCCATTAATATTAAATTGACAATTGTAACCTCAAAAATATAAAAGAGAGAACTTTGATGCAAAGCCACTTATAAGGGCAAAATTGTTCATTTAATATAAAAGGGGTGGATATAGCAACACCCGGGTTAAAAATTACCATTATTGATAATGAAATGCAGATTTTCTTACTCTAGCATTTTCCCGATTTCAAACTGACCCTTAACAGTCTACAGAAGAAAAGAAATGCAGATTTCTTCTATTCGAGCGATCACATACCTCCAGATATAATAAGTGCTTGAGCAGTGTAGTTGAGATTAGCCTTAGCCCAAGGAATGGTTCGGACTGCAACTAACTGAAATTTTAAGAAAGCAATTTCGAGCTTAGCGACAGAGAAATCCCACAATACAGAGAGAATGAGATTAAATTTGAAACATAATAAAGGGCACATTTGGTTCACCCCTAATGTGGCATTACCCATGTGACGTATTGTAGGTGTTTGAATTTTCAAGGATAAGAGGGAATTGCATTACCTTTATTTTCCTCGGTATTGTAAGATTACCAATGGAGTTAAGAGAGTTATTCAACTTCAGGTAAACAATGGACCTAATATAAAAATTGGGATTATATTGGGTTTGTTAATGTTGCAAGATTACATTGGCTATATTTTAGAAAATTCCAAGTTTATCACATTGTGTGAACCAGACACATTATGATCTAGTAATTTTACAACCTCCTTGATCATAATTCCTAATGTAATTATGTAACCTCACATTATGTGAACCAAACGACCCATAATGAACACAAGAGACAACGAAAAAGAGAGAGTTTTGCGCGTAACCAATCAATTAAAAAATGGTGGTTAATGACTTAAACTGGGGGTCTTGTGTAAGAATATGTAACCATGTGGTAGAAGTAACTAGAGAAGGCTCATTAAGTTTCTTATGTTTTCTTTTTGTTTGCAAAGTCATGCATGATTTTCCTTCACCAGACCAAATTAGCTTTCACAATAAGACATTTACAAAAAAACAAGCTGGATTCAAAAAGTCTATCACATAATGAAACAATGTGAAATACATTTAAAATGGAAGTCATATTTGGATGTGAACCATACATACCGTTGGAATAGCACTACAAACACATGCAATTCCAGCAGCCTTGGCCCCCGCACGTACACCCTCTGCAAAGTTTGGAGCGTCAAAAAAAAGATAGACACTAGTTCTTCACAAATTGATATAGAACATAGACTTGAGCAAATTGTTTTGGAGTGGTGAGGGGGGATAAAGACGTTGTTATGCACTGCACACCTTTTAGCTATATAATGTAAGATTCATTAAGTAAGACCCTTAATAAGGATACTCCCTCTGTTCCAAAATGAAGTTTACCCTATGTTTATTTCAATACCCCAAAATGAACTTAACACTTCTTCACCTTCCTATTAAGGAAAAAGAAAATGTCTCACATTGAAGTGTTTATCTATGCAGGTGCTTATTTACTTATTGTTGATAAGTGATTTTTAACTCATAAGCTACTTATTGAAGTCTTTTTTATAAAGTGACTTAAATAAGAGATTGGTCATTTGGGGAAATTCATAAAAGGTTAGAGATAGTTTTGTAAATGATGTAGTCAAAACGGAGAAACAAGAAATTGGCTTAAAAATAAGTAAGACGAACCAACTTATAAGTACATAAGAACACCCACATTATTTCTCTCTTTTAAAAAAAATTTAAATCATACACTTATACTTTCGACATTCTTCTTAAACTCCGTGAAGCCAAACTGTAAACTTTATTTTGGGACAGAGAGAGTATAACCTAAGCATTAAGGGTAAACAGAGATTTCAAAGATTCTATCGGTATCCTATCGGATTGCAAGAACAAATAGACAAATTAATCCGGGCATAACTCTCAACTAATAGCTATAATTGTGAATTTGAGCACAAGTCTACCATATAAAGGCATACGAGGCTTTATCATGAAGAACATGACTAATCTTATGCAATCACAACATGTTTTATGTCATTGATTGCAGAAAAGCATGTTTTAAAAAGCCAGATTCGGAAATGTAGTTTCGGAGAAAGCTATCTTCTCCGAAACAGAGTTTATAAAACAAATCTGCAGCAGAAATAAACTCGAATTGGAGGCCAGAAGCTTTTTTTCAGACTCAATGGCAAACACCCCCAACATATGATATTATGAATGCACAAAAGTATTCATATCAGCTTGTACGCTAACCCCATCTGAGCAATTCAAAAATTGGAGGATGAAACATTTAATAAAAATAAAAATAAATAATGAAAATAAGTAAAAATCTCTATAATATCTCAAATGAAATCTGGAAAACCTAACAGATGAAACTGGAGAGAAATAGTTGAACCTCGGGTACACTCTTTGCTCCTTCGGATCTTCGCTTCTTCATACGGAGAAGCAATCCAGAAAGGCTCGTTCCTTTTAAATCTTGATGGAATTCCCATTTTTTTTTCTCTGTAATTCTCTCTGATCGAACAACCTCTTATCAGTCTTGTGGATAATTTCAAAAAAAAAAAGTCTTATGGATGATGAGCTGAAACAGCAATAGTGAAAAAAATAGTGAAAAAAATAGTGAAGCCAGTGTTTTTTTTTACTTTTTGACTTAAATTTAATACAATGAATATGTTGCTCACTCACTAGACTCGTACCCGTGCGATGCACGGGCGATAAAACTAATTATATTTAGTCTTGGTTTGGAATGAAAAAAAATTAAAAAGATTACAAATTTTATTAAAATTTCCCAAAAAAAGGTTATGTACATCAAGGATTGTAGTCGAAATGCAATGTTATAGTTTTTGGAACACTTCTTTATAAACTACATTCGTAGTTTGGTTTGTTGATGGAAGGTCTTTATTGCAAAAGTACTTTAATACGAATTGAATATATATATATATATATATATATATATATATATATATATATATATATATATATATATATGGACATACCATTCGTTATGTTCGACAATGGCGATGGAGTGCACATATCTGGCATTGTTGAATTTTTAAGTGGATCACATTCCAGACAGACTTTCTTCTCAAATTTACTCCACCAAAACTCTTAAAATTGGAATTATCTTTCGAAACATTGCATCTTCCATTTTATATTCCAAACATTTAAGTGATATGTTAAAATTTAAATTACTCAAGATAGAAGTTATGATGTTCCACTTTAAACTTAATATTTAGAATTTAATAATAAAAAAGCGTAGTTTCTAAGTGTATCTAACTCTATAAATTTAGGTTTTAATAATTAAAAACTAACTTTATGAAAGTAAAAATAGGTATACAAACTTGGAGCATACAATGTTTAACTTAAAAACTAATAATAAAATTCCTGTTTTAATTTTGAAATAAATACAATAACTTAAAGAATATAAAAATGTAATTTTTGTAATATTATTTTATACAAATATATCTTTTCAATTTTCTTATTACAAACCAAGTCTAAAAAGAAGAAGTGTAGCCCAAACATTTTGGCAAGACCACAGCCCAGTCCATAAGGTCAATCTAGCCCATTTTTTAGCCTAGTTTAAAAATAGAATCGAGATAACCTATCTCCTGGCCGTCATTCACGACCACATGTTCATCCGCCGCCTCCACCGATCTTCTCTCTATCCTTTACCTTCTTCGCTTTCTTCGATGTGCAATCGCAACCGATGGATTACTCCAGAGAGCGAGAGAGAGAAACAGGGAGAGTGAGAGAGGAAAATAGTGGGATAGATTGATAGGATGTTATTTGAAAAAGAGAGATAAAGAGTTTGGAGAGAGAGCTTCGAGAGAACGGTGGATAGAGAGACGGAGTACATCATCGGTGGGATATCATCGCTGCAATCGCCGGTATTATTATAGGAGTATAATTTTTCATAGAAATTTCTTTTTTCAGAGTTCATACTCCCATTTAATCAAGTATTCGGATTTATCTTAGATCTGTTGATTTCTATAATTGTTCAAAATTTTTAAAATACTTTTTAATTGTAATGAATCATGAAATTTTTCGTGATCTATATTTAAACAACCATGCATGTTCATTAAGACTTTGAATTATAATACGGATATAGTTTATAAAAGAAAATCTGTTATACTTTTAGACTAATTAGATTTCCGAAAATAGAAGGGTTAGCTAAAAATTTCCATGTCCAATTTTAATGTATAATTATGAAGTAGAAGGGTTATTTTAATATATAATGTATATTAAATGTTAAAAATATACAGTTTATGAAATACTTCAAGGAAAAATATTTATTTTCATTTAATACTAATAATTTTTCTTATATCATACAATTATGAACTTATTATTCTGATTTGCAGAGATGGAATCGGAAATATTCAAGCCCACTTTTTCACTAAAAATATTTTAGTGATTCTATACACTTTTTTCCTATAATTTGCTTTTGAAAAAAATATTTATACCTTGTTTATTTTAACCTCATAAATGGGAGTGTACATTAAAAAAGATAAAGTTATTAAACCTCTTTGTACATGTTCAAGTAATCACTTTGAACATGTTAAGGTTTAATTGTACAGTATGGCATTAAAAATGCTTTGATCTTGTGTAGTTTCAACTGTGTCTATATCTTAGAAATAAGATTGTTTTAGATTTCTTAGTTCAATAAAAAGTAGATGTATTAAATGCAAAGATCTTCTCAAACCCATCACATCTCTAATTTCCATTTTCGAAGGACGTGTTTATAGTTTGTAACTACATAATTTTTACTTAAATATAGACATGAAGAAATAAAAATTTTGATGTGCATATAGTACAAAATATATAATATCAAATTTATTTAAATTCTTATTCAGTAAAAAGTGTGCTACAAAAAATAATTGTTTTAAGTAGTTGTATTAAATGCAAAGATTTTCTAAACCCATTAAATCTTTACTTTCTTTTTTCTGAGGATGGGTCATTATTTTATGGAAGCATACAATATTTTTTTAAATACTTTTAAGAATATTTTCAAACATCGAAAGGTATATATTTCAAAATTTAATAACATCATATTCTTTTTTTTCAAAATCTGTTCACGAACAATCCGTTCATGAACAATCCATTAATTTTTTTCCAAGAACGCCATCTTCGACGATCAGGTTTTCAAATTTCTTCTTTTCAGGTTTTTTAAGATGCGCATGTATCCTCGTCTCCTATAAAAAATGAAAAAAATCAGTGTTCGTCATTGTAAATTTGGGAATATATTAAAAGAGAAATAGAAAAAAATTTACATGTTCGTCATGGAAGATGACTTGTAACTTGAGCATCCATGCCGTGAGAGTGTTATCAATTTTGTCAATGAAATTCCACATCATGGTTTGTGGGTTTTGGGACATTTAGATCACTCATGCTGTGGTATGTGTTTTGAATGGTGTGTATGCTCTAAACAAATTCGGATATATATATATATATATATATATATATATATATATATATATATATATATATATATATATATATATATATATACACATACTTGGGCTTGGAGGCAACTTAAACTATCACATTTAATGTCCATGTACTTAAAGATTTTTTGAATAATTAGATTAAGATATGGATTAGACATAAAGTTAATAAAGTAGATTTATTGGATCGAGGTGCTTTAATAAAGTAGATTTATTGAATCGGGGTGCTTTAAAAAAGTAGATTTATTGGATCGAGGTGCTTTAATAAAGTAGATTTATTGGATCGAGGTGCTTTAAAAAAGTAGATTTATTGGATCGAGGTGCTTTAATAAAGTAGATTTATTGAACCAAGGTGCTTTAAAAAAGTAGATTTTTGGCCCATGTATAGCAACCCACTCGGCCCATTAAAGGTAGCCCACTTGGCCCAATAAAAATAGGCGGGAACACTGTTCATAAATTTCACCTAGCATTGTATGTAGTAGGATTTCTTCTTTTTCTTTTTTACTCTGTATTTTAAATACTCCCTCCGTCCCACTGTCTTTATCCACTTTTTACTTTTGGAAATATTCATCTAAGCACTTTGACTCATCAAATTCTCTCAATATGTAAGCCTAAATATAATAATGTGTGATCTTGTTTGATTTGTCTTAATATATACATTATTAATATATAATTTCTATAATTTTTTAATATACAAATTACAAGATAAAATGAATTAAAGAAGTGCATTGGATGGTATGCCAAAAGGTAAGTGGACAAAGACAGTGGGACGAAGGGAGTAGTTTTTTAAAAGTCATTAATTTTATGAACGGGCACAAAAGATGTCAAATGTCGTGTCATGACATGAGTTTTCAATATCAAAAGTAGAGGTTTCAAAAATATCTGGTCTGGACAATCCATCCACAATCAGAGATTCATGAAATAAATATTTGATTCGATATTTTAGCTTTTAGAAAAAAATAGAATAACATTATCACCAGTTGTTTTGTAGAACTTTTGAAGTAGTTTTTTAAAATATACTCCGTATTTTTTAATTCTACACTAATTTTTACTCATATTGATTTAAAGTTAACTCTAGTAAAACATCGTAAATCAAACAGGAACCTTATTTTGAAACAGAAGGAGTATGTGAGAAGGTTAAATGTGAACCTTAGTAAGACAATAGTAGAACTCTATGATCCAATCTTTTTCACTCTAAGACCCTGTTCTTTTCTGTTGAAAAATTAATTTTCAATTTCTTCCAATGCTTAGTTTTTTCCCAACTCTTTCTAGATTTTTTAATTCCTTCCACTTTCTTTCAACAACGATTTGAAAATTTGAAAAATATATTTACATATGATAACTATACAATAACATTATATATCTAAATTTATAATATAACACCTTAAATACGGACAAAGATGAATTCTTTTTCATATCTAAAATATGTTTTCTTACATATTTAATTGGACGATTATTTAATCAAGTGATTCTTTTATCATTTTATTTTTTCCAATATTTTCATTAGTTCTATTTTTTTTCAAGTTTCTATCAATTTGCCAATCCTCCTATTTACAAGAGCAGCAGGAAAAAATTCCCGCCTAAAGTTTTGGGCCAATTTCCTTTGCAGTTGGGCCGAATAAACAGGTGAAGGTGGTTCTGATTTTAGGCCGGTAATATTGGGAAGTTATTTTTTATTATAACCAGTTATACTTGAAATTTACTAATTTAAACTTATTAATTTCAAATTAATTCAATTATTTAGAATTTCATACGATACTAATTTTACAAAAATCCCTTAATCACAATTTCATGTAATCACTATAAAAAATCATATTTTTTATTGAATTACATTTAATAAAATTTAGTTATTACTTAACTTATGCAAAAAAAACATGGAGAACATTTGGAGAAAATAAAACCATATATATGAAAATAAACCAAATGATTTATCACAGTTGTTAGCAGTTTCTTTATTGAATAACAAACTTAATACTCTGTAATAACCGCAACTCCTCCATTTGCCACCCCATTACCCATGAATTGAGGAAAGTCACCCTCCCACCTTTTTTAGAACTCCTCCACCGAGTCCCCTGTCCCATTCTTGATCAGTATAAAAGGAATGGAAATCTCTATGTTTCTTCGCAAGCCTTTTCACTTCATGGAATCACTCAAAGCTTGCAAACACAAAACAAAAAAAGTCAGTTCAACCAAGGGGAGGTTTCGGACAATGGTCTCTTTTGAAAGATGTGGATGACAGCAAAAATGAGGGGCTCTTCGCATACATGTTGTTTGTGGGTACGATGTGCCAACATGTGATAGACTGTAAATACTTTGACAATATATACATATTTTTGTTCAGTTTTCTATAGTATTTTGACGTTAAACCATTTTCATGTGTGTATATATGTATGTATATATATAAATATACACACACACCAACAAATACACCTCCACAACATTTTGATTCATGATCGTGTTCACACAAAAGTGTTAAGTGGGTGGTTTTTGACAAAGCTACCAGTTTTGCTATAAATCTGTTGAGAAAAAAAGCATGCACGGTCCCTATTTGTGTAAAAATGTATAGTGGGTGGTTATTGGTAAATGAACTGTTATCATCCTCTCCCCCACCACTGCTCCCTTTTAATTTACTAGAAATTACCTGATTAAATTTTATAGATCTTGGGTCATTCATCCAAGCCATAAGCATGCAATTACCTACAAGATATAGAGTTGGTTTTAACTTTTTACTCCAAAAATAAACCCGGCATTATACATTTCATATGACATACTAATTAAACTAATATATTAGAGAAGTATACATTTTATGGGAAAGAAAAAAGAGACACATAAAGGCATCTACCATTAAAAAGTTTATATTAATCAAGTAGTCAGTGAAATTCAATTGATAAAAAATCAGTGAAATTTCTTTTTATAAATGTTTGTTTAAAAATACAATGAAACTCAGTTAATAAAAAAAGTTAATGATATATGTATTTAAAAAAACTAAAGGAATCACTATTTGTATTCGCTGAAACACGAATCAAAAATCACTATATGTATTGAAACCCTAATCAAAGTGAATGCTATATGTATTTAAGAAAATCAAAGGAATCACTATATGTATTGAGAAGATTCACGACAACCATTTATTTAAGGTTTAGATTGTTTTATGATGTGATGTTAATAGTATAACAGTGAGCACACCTCAATAGTGTGAAAAATAATAAAATTGGGACATAGTGATGACGTTGTGAGATTAGTATTTTACATCTCAAAAATGAAAAATAAAATATTTTTGGTATATCGTAAAATATTTGAATCACAAAGAAAACAGAAATATTTGAGTTAAACAAAATAACAACAAATTTTGTAATGGTCCATGTCTATAAAGTTTGAATAAAAATCTTTCAAATTGTAATAAATCGTGATTATCAAACGGAGCTGAGCTAAGATTTGAAAATAAAGATATACGGAGTATTAACTTTATATATCACGTAATAATTTATGAAAATCTCTGCAATTCTAAATACTTAAAAATAAAAAAAATATTGTTAGATCTACGAGTAAAAATAGAGATCTAGGGCAATACTAAAACAAAAAAAACTGATATAAATCAATCGAAGTCTGCACCATAAACTTTTGATGACCAAGTAGATCGGCCGTAGTCGGCACAGAAAATTTAAGGTCGAGCAAAAAAAATTCGAAAACATAAAATAAGTCATGTAGACTTCGATCGGAGGTCGTAGACTTCATTTTCATATAGCATTTGTTTATATTAAGTAAATCGAATTCAATTCGATCTTAGATCGTAGACTGAAATTTCTTATAAAATCTGTATATGTGCAAGAAAAGAAGAACATACAAAAAAGAAAACTAAAAAATCAGGAAAACAATCATTAAAGATCACTTATACACGAAAGAGAACTCAACTCTTCTAAAAAAAAATCTGTAAACATCCCGGTCAAAAATCAAAACAATAATAGCCGAATAAAAATTAGGGAGCAAAAATTCAAGATAAAGAAAACAATTGAAACTCATATATGATACAACCAAGGAGAGTTCTAGACTCAGAGCGAGAGAGATCCATCGATAGAGAGAAGATAGAACAACAGATTGGGAGCGAGAGAAAGCTGAATATTGAGAGAGCGATGAAGAGATCTAGAGAGAGAAAGGCGGCGAGCCGGCAATTAAGTATTAGGGTATGAACACAAGATATGTACTCCTATTAGGCTGGACTGGAGGTGAAAGCAGTGGGCTTAAGCCCGGAAGTATAATATATGGGCCAGACCGCCAGACATATCATCTTTGAGTTTAATGCTATCTCCATTCCGAGTATTTGCCTAATTTTAATTTTTTCAGTCAAATTTTTATAATTTAATAACTAATTAAAATAAAATTGATATTAGATATTGTAGAAATAATATTTTTATTGCATTTATTTTATACTCGGTACTATATTTCTAAAATGTTACTCCTATTTTATTTGTTGCAAACAAACTTTAATACTTTATTTACTAATTAAAATAACTTTAATATTAGATATTGTAGAAATAATACTTTTTTACATTTATGTGATACTATATATCCAAAATGATATTTTAGTTGATTCATATATATTTTTTGAAAGGTTGTAGTTGATTAATCTATGATATTTAATTATGTTTTAAATGTAGTTTATCATGCAAACTTTGACTTCTAATTAAGTAAAATTGATACAAAAATTGAATATAATATAATGAAGTTGTATTCCCAAGGCTTTTTTTATTCTTTTAAATAAAAAGATTCCTTTCAAGTTTCAAAGAAAGTAATTTTGCAGTCGTGACTTCCTATGTAATGACCATTAAAAAAATTAGAGGCAATATTTATTGCATGTTAGCTTACTACTTACGAAAAAACTACACTTGAGAATCATGATCTTAAGTTACGATTAAGAGAACAATGTTTTGGACTACACTTCAAATGTTGCATATAGAGAAGTCTTTCAGAAGTTATAATTCGCGCTATATGTTTAATTTATTTATGTATTATTTATTTATATATAATGCATTCTCAAATAATTAAAAACACTATGAAGGATATTGTCATCTTAAATAGGCAGTACTTGAGTGTGATATGTACTGAAATTTGTTATATATCATATTTACTCATTTTAATTTATTTATTTTTTACATAAATAAATAATTTATTGTTGTGTTATTTTGACCGTGCATCGCACCTGTAAAATCGGCTTCCCTGTTGCCCTTCTCCACTTCAATTTTTTTTCCCGTTCTCCATCCGATCTTCCGTTCCCCACTCCGATCTTCTTCGTGCCGCAGGTCTCCCATCCGCGATCTTCGCCGACGACCCAGCCGCAGCGCCGCAACTCCAAGACATGCAGGCGACTCCATTCTCTCCGGCGTGAAGGATTTCAGGTACGGTTCTTTTTTCTGTTTTTGTCAATTATTGACATTTTCTGTTTTTTTCGTGTTTTTTTTGAATATCCACTCTACAGATCTTATTCTAACTTGTATTGATTTGTATTTAATTTGTTTTTTTAATCCGATTTTGGGATTTTCTATGTATTTTATTTCAGCCCCCAGTTGCCAAGAGATTTTTTATTGTAAAATTTATTTTTATTCCGGCCTATTAGGATTGTTGCCCCCAATCCTAACGATTGAAGTTGCCAAACATAAGATAGTTTACAAGGTAGGGGATTTTTTTAGGGTAAGGTTAGATTAAGTTTTTTTGAAGTAATATTTCAATTTTTTGACATGCTGAAATCAAAATATTTCAATTTTAGTAGATATTTTTTTGTTAGTAGTGGATATTGTTAATCTACTTAGCTTGTTACTTTGATTGTATTGTTCTATTGAAGTGCTAGTTGAACTTGTTAGTTAAAGTTTATTGGAAATTTGCAATTTTTAGTAAGAACTAAAAATCATTGGATGTCAATTGAATCGCGTTTTATGTAGGGTTTGCCAACTTCTTGATTTGTTCAAAAATTGACTTGATGAAACATTTTGCTTTATTTCACCAACCGCCGTGAAAAACGTCACAATTAGTGACGGCCTAGGTTTCGTCGCATAATTGTGTTTTTCTTGTAATGGGATCATCTAAATTTTCAATCACGTATGTAGGAAAAATGGAAAGATTCACGATTAGACAAATATTATCAACTTTTGGAACTGGTAGTGCCAAAAAAACATCTAATAACATCGCACAACGTAGTTTTACCTCTTAATTATTATTTTTTAGGGTTATAATTGTATTACAATATAGTATTTGACCATACATACTTTCTCAACTTACTGAAGAGAGTCAATGTCCCCACTGGGCTTCGAACCTGTCACATGTCACTTAAGAGAGCTACAATTATGCCGTTGGACCACAAAGTTTTTGGCAGCTTCACCTCTTAATATATGTGTGCCCCTGTAAACTTTTTGTTTAGATCTACACACTAGCATCTTTCCCTGTCTCCGTGCAGCATAGACTAAATGTGTCAATCTTTTTCACTCATTTAGAATTCGTGTTTATCTTGACCTACTAAGGTTAACAGATTGTGTTTGAGTTTTAGGATTATATGCTCTTGTATAGCTGTTTTTTGTATCAACCTGTTGTAATGTATCATTACTCGGTTTTCAAAGGCACGCATCTTACTCGACGTTATGCGTTTTTATTTGTTAGTTGTTTAATTATGCCTTCTAAAGAAAATTTATCAGTTGCAAAAGTTTTAACCACACATTTATATGAAGGGGTTTTCATAGATGAATAGGAAACAATATTTCTACTTTCAAGTAGGAGTAAGGCCTTTGTGCACACACCCTTTTCAGACCCTACTTTTGTGGGACTATACTGAATTTGTTTCTTTGTTTGTTGTTATTGTTTTCATCAGTGGATCTGGATAATAGTCGTGGAGACAACATTTGACGTCGTATAGTACTTTTGAAGGTGGGGGAAACAGCAGCTGACATGGATTCTCATGTCGATCATTATGCCGTTCTTGGCTTACCCTCGGGCGAAGAAGGATCCAAGCTTTCAGAAAAAGAGATATCCAAAGCGTACCGTTCAAAAGCTTTGGAGTTACACCCGGACAAGAAACCGGACGATCCGAACGCCCACTCACATTTCCAAAAGCTGAAGACTTCGTACGAGATCCTCAAGGATGAGAAAGCTAGGAAGCTCTTCGACGATCTTCTCCGAGTCAAACACGAAAAGTCAAAGCGCCAGTCTCACTACGATGCAAAGCGTAGGAAGATGGCATCCGACCTCGAGGCGAGGGAGCGTTCCGCCTTCCGGAGCGATGATGTGGCGAGAGCACGAGAAGAGGAAGAAGAACAAATCGCCCATAAACTCAAAGAGGAAATCGCGAGAATTCGTGCGATGCTTGCCAACAAAAACGCCTCTATCACCCCAACCCCACCTTCAAAGACAGGGGGAGTAGCACGGGATGAAGCCCAAGATACCCGCGGGGCTGTTACTGTAGATAAAGACAAGGTGCTAAAAGTGTCATGGGAGAAGGCTGGCGTACTGGGATACACTGCCCAACGGTTGAGGGAGATATTCGGGCAGTTTGGGGAGGTAGAAGATGTCGTCATAAAGAGTTCCAAGTCCAAAGGGTCGGCGCTTGTTGTCATGGCTTCTAAGGACGCCGCGGCATCCGCTTGTGGGACCGTTTTAGGAGATCTTTCAAATCCTCTATTGGCCGTGCCAATCAACCTGTCTGTGAAACCGCCTCCCTTTGCTCCTGCGTCAAGAGACGTGGGGCCCGAGGCGGAGTCGAAGTTGTATGAACTCGTCGGCGCAGGATATCAGGCGTTCGAAGATTCTGTGTTGGAGAAACTGAATAAGGCTGCTCAGCGGCAAAAAGAGGAAGCCAAATCTGCTAATGATAACCTGTAATGTGCTTCTTCTTAACTGGATTTCTATATTATAAATCCAAATCGTGATGTAATGTGTTTAATGTACGTTTTAGACATGCGCACACACACACACACACAAATGAACCCCATCCCCGAGGGTCTCTGAGAACCAACCGGACGGTGGTAAATTGGGCTTTATTCAGTGATTGGTGGCACAAAGTGGAACTTGTACCCGTTTCTTGCAGTGAGTGACTGTATACTTAGCATAATTATTTCCGTGCGTAGTTGTCAAGAATTGAATTCGGGTATTACCCTTTGGGCATTTCATGCATTGTCAACTGTGCAACGTCCACCCGCTCGTTTTTTACATACACACATTTATAAGTTACGTTAGTTACTAATTGCACAATGTTCATTTTATTGTTAAATAATACTGTTCATTTTGTTATTAATAACACCTCCATTCGACAAAATATTTAAAAAAAAATTAAACTTTGATAATAAAATTGCAAAAAAAGCACACTTATTTTTTTTATATATGTTCATAGTGTGCATATTATGAACGATGGGGTTCTAGTGACACTGGAAAACGGTGCCACTAGCGGTGCCATTGGGTTTTTGGGGCACCTCTAGTGCTCCGTTCGTAAAATTGACGGTTCCTACCCCCCCTAACCCACCCCCTAAACCCCCCACCCTACCCCCATCCCTGCACCCCCACCCCAACCCCGCCATAAGCCCCCCACAAAATGTGTGGCTATTATGCATTTTGTGGGGGGCTTACGGCGGGGTTGGGGTGGGGGTGCAGGGATGGGGGTAGGGTGGGGGGTTTAGGGGGTGGGTTAGGGGGGGTAGGAACCGTCAATTTTACGAACGGAGCACTAGAGGTGCCCTAAAAACCTAGTGGCACCGGAGTGGCACCGTTCTCCGGTGTCACTAGAACCGGACCGATGAAGGAAATCATTGTATACACGTACATCCAAAATTTACAGTACAATTTTAGTGGGCAATTTATGGAATCTTGTTTCAACTTTCAATTTGTATGCCTTAATAAAGTCCAAAAAAAATAGTAGTGTAGCACATTAATACTTTTAAATTTGTACTCCCTCCGTCCGAAAATGATCTTCTCATTTGACTTTTCATGGTCAAAGTTTGTAAACTTTGACTTTTCAATATATTTCTATTGAAACGTAGTTTTGAAATATCAAATTATTTTAAAATATCTCTATGTATAAATATAGATATTAATGGTCAAAGTACAGTATTGAAGACCGTAAAAAATCAAATGAGAGAAATATTTCTGGACGGAGGGAGTAGTATTTATAACATGGTCGATTTAAAATGATAATACAATTATATACACTATATTTATACTATACAAAGTATAAATTAACTTGAGATGATCATAGGGTAGAAGAGGAGGATTAAAGACGAATCTTCTTAGTTTGAAATAACTTGAGAACTTCTGTCAATACTATGAGAAACACTTCTCATACTTGAATGTTTTCTCAACTTTACATATACTTGTTTGATATATCTCAACTTTCATTATGAGTCCTCTGGAAATATTCACTCTAGGTTTCAAAATAAGGTTTAGAATGTGTACGTGATTACCTAACATCTCTACTTTCGAGTTGCGATAAAATCTGTGTAAACACCCTCTTTGTGACATTTACAATTGTTCAATGAATGAATCTAACTCGTCTTTTATGTTGTGTAATTTGTCTTTTCTTTTCTTGTGTTGTACTACCTCCGCCCGTGAATATTTATCCAATTTTGATTTTTTTCAATCAATCATTTTCAACATTTGACATATGATTAAATAAAATATACATTGTACTAGAATATTAATTAGAAAAATAGTACTTTGAAAGAATTCTATACAACAAATCTAATAAATTTATTTCTATATCAATATCTAATACTCCTTTCGTCCCAATTTATATTGCCCGTTTCAGTTTACGATGTTTAGCCAAAATTATTTTCAAATTATTTTATATGAAAAAAAGTTAAGAATTTAAAAATAAAAATTACATGTTAAAGTACTACTTAAAAGATCTACAAAACTAATAGTAACATAACTATATTATTCAACAATAAGTAAATTTTGACTTTGTAAATAATAAATAGTAAACATGCAATTTAACTTGAGACAAAAATGAGTATCATTTTCATTTAATTATAGATCAAAATTTGCCCAAAATTCTCAAAAATAATCAAATATTCAAAGACGAAGAAAGTATTATGATATATTCAACTCAGTGATCTCTTAGTTAAGAGTGTGAACTGGGTTTTTATTACACTCACTCCCAACGTAGAGTGTTTCATTCCATCAAAAGTTTTGGAAAGTCGAAAGACCTCTGACCCATTCAACAAGAGAGGCGAACCAGTAAAATCCAATGTATTTTTTCATTCCACGTAATATAACATGATACCCCAAATATAAGTCATGAAACCATATTGTCAAGAAAAAAAAAGAGGGAAAAAAAATATGGACCAAAATAGGAAAACCCAATTTATACTTCTGTATCATAATTAAAAAAAAAAAAGAGTTTCATACATAATTAGAAGATTTATCTCAATCCTCTATCTCCCTTTGGTAGGCACACACAAACTTCTCCCATGATATTTTGGCTTTGATTATGCAGCAGCAGCAGCAGTAGTAGTAGAACACTAATCCACTGCAAATAAATGGGAACACGATTTATGAACACATACTACTACGATTGTAATAGAGTTGTTAGTGCTCGAAATAATGGAGCACACTATACTTAAAATGTTCAGCTGTAAACCTTGTAAACTTTGGTGAGATGCAACTGATAGAAATCATCAAATATACCTGTCACTTTAACTACTAAAATGTAACGTTTTTAGCTTGTGAGGCGTGTACTTTTTCTTTAAAAGCATTTGATTTGAAAATTCATGCATTTTCTACAAATTTGGCTCTTCTTATGGGACCAAAATATGTTGAAAAAATACTACTCTTTTTATAAGACGGAGCTGGGGAGCATTTTTGGTCAGCGATTTGCTTTTATAGTCCCTCACTCGTGCCATTTTGTATCAAATCTCTCATTGTCAATTTTTGTCCCCCACAGTGGCGGGGTTTTAGTCGTCCCCATCAGTCCCAATTTTCATCCTCTGTTATGCAGAGTAAGTGTGTTGAGAGAGGACTTAACAGACACAAAAAGTTAACCAAACTTGCTCAAGTTGTGTAAGAGAGAGAGAGAGGGACTACGAAACCAAATTGTCTTTATTTGTTTGAGAGAGAGGGGGAGGAGGGGAGGGAGGGAGGAGGGGGGGGGGGGTAAACTAAGAAAGAAACATACCGGTGTGACTAGAAACCCTGATCAATAAGATAGTCACCAAGCTTTTCAACAACCACATTGCACTGTCCAGGAGTCATGGGCTCGTTATATATTCCAACAAGCAAAGCCTGGCCTGTTTTCTTAATTGTGATGCCACCAGGTCCCTAAGTCATTGTCACACAAAGGTCATACTATCAAGACAATTGCAGAGGTACACGAGATTGTTAAGCTCAGTCTACCAGACAATTTAAAAGGAAGTGTCGTGCTGTGGGGAATAGAACTCCGTGAAAGATTTATTATTTAAGATGTTGACTAAAATACCCCCATTCTAATTATGTGTGTGAACTGTTAAGTGGTGGATAGAAAACATAACGAAGTGGGCGGAAGGCATATCAATAATATTAATAAAAAAAACTAGGCAGGGAATTTTGTTGCCTCTTCAAAGGCATTTGAGAAGAATGTCAAGATATACACATCCTTACCCTTGTAAGAAGGGAGACTATTTATGTTTGCATGTTGATATATTCCTGCATTAACTATTCAAAACTTCATAGAAAGTAAGAAGCATAAGTTTAATGTGTCATTTTGATTGAGTCGTTTAGTCAAAGCTAAAACATATGATATAAAGACTCTTTTAAATCTTATGGTAATGGACATTAAAATGGGAAAAAATTGAAGAAAAAAAAGAGGATTGCAACCCAATCAAATGCTCTCTTTTTCCCAAATTAATCTTCCCAAAACTGCCAAAGACCTTGCGGTCCAGTGGCATCAATGTAGCCAATGTTGTAACAAATTTGTTAGTGTTCAAAAAAAAATTCCAATAATGTTTGGACCGAGAACCTAGGCAAAAGCAGAAAAGAGGGTATTTTCCCATAGTATCTTCCCCCTTCCTCTCATCTCTTCTTCCATAGTAGAACCTATGAGTCCACACGTGACTTACTGCAAATTAACACCAACAAAACCGAAGGCAATTCCAGTAATATTACAAGGTTCCAACAAATTACCCCACAAGACAACGCCTCATAATACATCCAACAAAAATCATACTCCCCCCATCCCATATCTTTCTTCTCAGTTTCCTTTTTGGGCCGTCTCGCTTGTTTCCTCCCGCTTCCTTATTTGGCAAACTTTTTTTGACAAATAGACCAAGTTACCCATCTTTTATTCTTCTTTTTTCTTGACTAATTCCTTCCCGTCACCCCCACCTTCTTTCTTGACTTCCCATTTTGCTCTTCCTCTTTTCTTCTCATTCAGATGGAATATGATTGAATAGTTTGACGCTTAGTCTAGCTTGATTGACCTGTGTTCAACATTGACGTTTATCAAACCTTACCGTTCAAAATGTGTTTTCAACCATGCCATATTGTTCAAATGTGTATTCGACCAATCTTGTGTGTCTATTTTAGTGTTTGACCAATGAGCCTAAGGTCATGCTATCAAGGTTGAATCAATGTCCACGGTTGAATAGTGTGGTCTATGAGCATGTTGAGCTACCAAGGTCGAATGGTTGAATGGCGAGAAGTTCCAATGCACATGGTTGAATCTTATGAGTTGAACAACAAAATTCCATGTCTAATATTGAATTTTTATTTATATTATGCTCAAACGAGCACAGTCAAACATCTTTCATTTGTAAATAAGTTATTCGCTTTCAAATTCTATTTTTCTAACTATAATGTATAGTTTTGAACTTTCAGTTTTGTCATTAATTTTGATGAACTTAACTTTTCTAATAGGTTATACTATTTTTGAAGGTTTGAACTTGGTAGTGTTTTTGGTCAATCAATTACTCGTCTATTGGTGAGTAATCAAAAACCTATATTATCTAGATCTCATTATATAGTTGTCATTTTCTGTGTTGTGGTGACACCATAAATGGGGCATCGGCGTCGCCATGTCAAGCTGGCTCATCACCATTATTGCAGCGATGTGTTGTGACAACCATGAATTTTGAGTGAGCAGCAAGGAGAATTGGTTGATGTTGATGAGTAGAAAAAAAGTTGATATAGGAGAGACAATGAAGGAGAAGTGTCGAGGATGGTATTGATAATTGGTTGGTGTTTGTGATGGAAAGGGGGATTTGGATGAGAAATTAAGGTGTAAAAAGTTCTGGTATAAAAATATAGTTATCTTTATTTACATTTTCAACTGAATAATGTATTCTAGTAAAACTTAACAATTTCTTTTTTTACAACAAAAAAGCCCCCCCCCCCCCCCAGTAAAAATAAACATAACATACATGTTATTTGAGAAAACAGCTTAAGAGTAGTAATGGTTGGTGGGGCATACACATGGTAGTCAAAGTCGTATTTCAGATCGCACGATCTTGCGATAGCTTGGCTCGTAAGATCGTTGAATTGCATAGGATCAGCGATCAAAAATATAAAAAAAATTGCATGCAAAAATTGGAAATGCTAAGCTACACCCCTTCGGTTTTTAATTACTTCCCATATGTCAATTTTCCTTAAATAAACCTTCTCCCATACAATTACACACGCAAATAAACCTACTTCCAGTCAAAAAAACCTTGCGCTCAACCCTTGCACAACTCCTCTTAGTTCTAAGTTCCGAGTCTTTTGCATCTCTCTACTTTTTTGGGTTTACTTCTTTTTTGGCCAGGTATGGAATATAATTTTTTTATGTAAAAAGCTTTTCCTTCATCTTTCATTCAAACAGTGGGCATGCGGTAGCCTTTTTTCTCACTGTGGGCAAGTAGTTGATTTCTTTTTGCCCAGCAGCCAAGTGTTTGTTTAAATTTTAATTAAATATCTCTCTCTGTCCCCTATAGATCATCTCATTACACGTTACGAGGCACGACCAATTCTATTTTCAGTTCAAATTATTTGATTGTAGGTGTAAAATGTAAAAAATAAAATTTATATAATAAAGATCTACATGAAAAGTTTTACAAAACAAGAGGTAACAAGACAATATTTTAATGAAATGAGTAGTAAAAATTAGCAAACAAAGTGGGTAAAATTTGACCCTATGAATGGTGTCTGGGAAAATCTACGGAGGTTAGGGGGTACTTGCAAGCTATTATTGTTATCGTTGTTATTGTTGATAGAGGATTATAATTTTAGATTGACAACTATGTTTTAAATGTTTAGGAATAAAGTATTAAGTGATTCGTGACTATAGTGGTATGTTTTCATTAATTAAGACATGTTCTAATAGTCAGTTCCCAAAGAAAACGTGCCCGAGATTGTCTAATACCACCCCCACCACCTATGATTTAAAAACGTATAGAGAATCTCGAGATTGTCTAATACCACCCCATCCACCCCACCATTTGGATGAGATTCTCCATACTTGAAGTAGCCAAACGTGCCCGAGATTGTCTAATACCACCCCACCACCTACGTAGGATTTGCCTCATTGTCGTCCATAGTATTGACATAACATCACTATTTTTTGAATTACCACATCTTCTTTATACTCTAGTTTGTCTAATACCACCCACCACCTATGATTTTTTAGAATCCACTTGAAAATAAAACTTCTTGTGTATCCCATAAAACTTTTCCATTTTGGAAAAAGACGGGATTAAAGTAATGGGTAATATTGGTGTTACTTTCCAATTTTGCCCTTTATTAGATTGTGAGATATGATGTGCTAGGTAAATTAATAACGAATAGATGTGATGTGTAGGTTAAATAGTAGACGTAAAAGGGAGATTTTAATTGGAAATTGAAGTATTGTTTGAGATGGATGAAAAGTGAAAGTGGACAAGTATTTATACCATAAGCATGTACGCAAACCTTACCCTTACTCAAAAGTAGAGATTGTTTCCAAAGAGACCCATGATTCAATATCGAAAGTTGTGTTGATTGACTAAATGCTACTTCATTAATTAAAGAAGCGCAAAAAATTTAGAGATCCATTATTCAAAATTCACAGGAAATTTTGGAGAGAAGTAAACAATGTATATTACGTGTTTCCTCCGTCCCAAAAAGAACATCACAACTTACTATTCAAAAATTACGAGAACTTTTGTTTATTTGTATGTTTTCACGAGGCGGAGAGAAGTAAACAATGTATACTATGTACTTCCTCCGTTGCAAAAAGAATGCCACAACTCACTATTCAAAAATTAAGAGAACTTTTATTTATTTGTACATTTTGATCAATTATTTGATAAAATATAATATTCTTATCACCTCTTGTTTTGAATAACTTTTGGCATAATTTTTAAATATATAAATTTTACTAATTTTTACTATAATATCATTCTTTAAATAAAATGAATTGAAAAAACTTGAAATTTCACTTTGCGTAATGTGGTAAACATTTTGGGACGCAAGGAGCACTAAAACTATAAATATTAAACATAATTGTATCTATAAATAATGCACCTAAAGAGCCCAGATTAATTTTTTACACCTTTGGTCTATAGTCTATCTAAATAACCTCTTTTGTAATTTTTATTGTCATCAAATGTGAATAAAATATAATTCTTAACAAAGTTAAAATTGCACATAAAAGTATAGCACTTCGTAATTGACCGAGTGAAATTTGTTTGGTTAGCACTCCCCTTGTCCCATAATTTTGTTCTCATTTGATTTGTCAGTCTTTTTGATAAAGTAGGAATTGTGTGATTGAAATTAGTTTGGAAGTTTTTCCAAAGAAGAATAAGAGCAATTTTTTTGTTTCCAAATAAGGAAACAAGAGAGTCATAGGCCAAGGGGAGTAAAAGAGTAATTGTTTACCTTCTTTCCTCGTATAACAGCCCCAGGTTCACCTTGAATCACCATGTATTTTTCTCCCCCCAAATGCAAGCCGGTTGGAGCTAGGGTTCCAGGTTTCTCAAAGTCTTGCATAATTGCTGTAACCTCCTTCAGCTCAAACTGCAAACACAGTCACAAGAGAAAGAGTCAATCAGGAAACCACAACTAAACATTAGTACCCGAAACACACAAATTAACACAAATGGCATCATCCCTCAGTTAACGATTACTTAGTTCTCCATATTAGGAAGTATTTAATACCAATGACAACTATAAACTTCCCTGCAGAGTACCAACATATCACGGCTTTCTTGAATGCTTTTCAAAATATAGATCGTTCTGAAGCTATCTCACATTAACGCACGTAACAACAATAACAACATAGTTCACTTCAAATGTTTAAGTCCTAGAAACAGGAGCATAGAGTAAGATTGAGCAAAAAACATGAGCTTATTTCCCTCTCAACAAGTAAAAAGTATAAAGCATGGACTATTGTACTCTTGTGTGTAATACGTCAAAATTAACATCTCAGGCTTGTGTGTAATACGTCAAAATTAACATCTCAGGTATCACTAATTTGTTGGAGATTTCACTGTGGGCTCTTCACTCTTATTGAGTATTTTCCTAGAGAACAGCACACCAACAACTATAGTGTTATCAAATAATAATTGAGTGCAAGGAGCACCAGAATCATTGTTTAAATTTCACACAAATGGAAAAGTGGTTTAAAAGGGTGCTTTCTAGCATTTCATTCCCCTCATATACCAACGAATCGACTAGCGCATCGAAAACCCGGGTTAAGGCACCACATTTCAGCAATTCTCATTTTCAATATCCAAATGCACAACAAAAAATCAATCTTCTGGCAGTTGAAGCGTAAAAAGGAAGTGAAATCCAGTATCTGTTGCACGCCTTCACTTTTTTCGTGAAGATCCGTAAGGAAATGGTTAAATCAGAAGCTATATATATCCACAGATCTATTATAGCAACGATGAATACACTCCGAGGATATGAATCCACGAATCTTAAAAGGACTGAAACAGAAGAATCTTGATTTCAACCTCAAGTTATGCTACTATCTGGACACCTTTTAACCAACTAACTCGGGTTTGACACGGTAGCACTGGCTACTAGCGCCGCCTACACTCGCACTAATGGAGCGGGGGCAGCGAGCGTAACGTGTAGTTCACCAGCAGCTGCATGCAAACGGTGCTGTATCGAGGCCGAGTTGGCTAGTGCTAGAAGTTCTCCGGCGGATGAGCAGTACAGTAATAGTACTCCGTAATATGTATTCCGATTTCCGATTATATATATATATATATATATATATATATATATATATATATATAATTCCTGTGGAGGTGGGGGGCTCTGGAGGTTGCGTTGAGATTAAGCTGTGTTTGGTTGTCAATTTTTTATGCGGAGAGATGGATTCTGCCATTCTGGACTTCTTACTATGGTGGGTCCCAAAGCGTATTTTAATGTGCTCAAGCTAGCAATTATTTTACGCGTAATCACTTTTTAAAAAAAGAGAAAAAAGATCAAAAACATCCCCGGATTATAATGGAGGAGGTTCAAATATCCACTCAGATTCGAAGAGACGTTCACTGAGAGAAAAGTAAATTGAAAATATAAATGCTTCAGGGATTAAGGGGATTACTTCACCTTTTCAACTAAAATACTGTGTTTTATATTTAATTGATACTATCTCCGTCCCAATTTATAACGCCTGTTTCAGTTTACGATGTTTGACTGAAATTATTTTCAAACCATTTTATATGACAAATGGTATAGAATTAAAAAATAAAAATTACATATTAAAAAACTACATCAAAAGATCTACAAAATTAGTAGTGACAATAATATTTTATTTTATCAAATTGCTAACGAAAATAGAGAAAGAAAGTGAATGAAGTTTGACCCTATGAATAGTAAACAGGCATTATAATTTGGGACGGAGGGAGTATTATTTTCAAGATAATATATTGGAGAATTGAGATGAAGTTAAAAATTAAAATTTACATATACTCTCTCGGTTCCCAAAAATAATGTTACACTTCCATATTCAAAAATCACAAGAACTTTTTTGTTTATTTGTACGTTTTCATCATTGATTAGTTCATTATTTGATAGAATAAAATATTTTTGTCATTTTTTGTTTTATAGAATTTTTTATGTAGATTTTAAACATGTAAACTTTATTTTTTATTATATACTCCGTACTAGTCTGTAAATAAAATGAATTGAAAAAAATTTAAAATTTTACTTGGTTTTAAGTGAAGTTCCATTCTTTTCTTTTTAGTACAGATGAGTATTTAAAAACTATATCAAAATTTCAACAAAGCAAAAGGTGACATGAGTATTATATACTCCGTAATTATAAAAAAGAAAAAAAATAAAATTTAATCATATGAAAAAATAAATAGAAGCGCGTGTGAAAATTAATGTAGCATTGATGTCAAGCACGGGTGGATTGGTGGTTACTTTGTTATTTTAAATATTTTCATGAATTTATCAACCTCATTTCAAACTAATATCAATTTCGTAAGGGATGTGGCTCAAACACTCCATGTCTCCATGGATACAACTAATACAAGTTTGGAGTTGTTCCTTGCTACAACGCCAACATACTTCCACTTTAATAAAATTATTTAGTAAAACAATTATATCTTAGGATTCTTAGCTTAAAAAATTCTAAACCTACAATATATAAAGATGCTATTCTTTAGAATTAAAAAAATTGTTATTGGAAAGAATTGGGAAAAAAATTAAAAAATAAGAAAAGTTGGAAAAATATAAAGGAATTGAAAAATATTAAGAAAAAATAAAAAATAGTGAACCCATTAAACTCTCAACTTCTAGATTTTTCCAGTTATTTTCACCTTTTCCAATCTATTCTAACATTTCAAATTTTTTGAGTTGCTTCTAAATTTTTTAGGTTTTTCAACTATTCATATTTTTCTTCAAATACTTTTTTAGGTTTTTCAACTATTCATGTGATTATTATTATTGTTGTTGTTGTTGTTATTATTATCATTATTATTTGTTATTAGTATTACTACTACTATTATTGGGTTCATTACAATAGATTATAAATTATTTCAATTTGTATGTTTTTACTTTTTTCTCATATCACTATTTTTCTTCCACATTTTATTATAAATAGTACAATTTTTTGTTTATTAATTTATGTGATACTAACTTATATTCCAATAATTATGGATAAAGGAGCTAATTAGTATTAATTTAAACTAACTTGTGGGAAATATCACTATTATGAATTTAAAAAAATATTTATACTACTACAACATGCATAAGAAAAAATGACATAATAGTATGCAGAACAAAATAAGTTTGAATGACAAAAAATGTAACTAATAAATAAAATAGAAAGATTTTGAACATGTCTATTATAATATTTATTTCGACATTTTTCATTTTTGTTATTTCAAAAGTATAATTTTTATTTCAACTATTTTTATGTTTTTCAATATTTTCCAACTTCTTCTAATATTTCCCGACTATTTCTAGCTTTTTCTAGTTTTTTCATTTCCTTCATGTTTTTTTCCAGTTTTTGTGGGTTTCCGAGTTCCTTTTAATGTTTTCAAGTTTCTTTCAATTTTTTTTAGTTTCTTTCAATATTTTTCAAATTCTTGCAACATCAAACTTTTTTTTTTGATTTGTAAAAAGAAAACAAGATTTTGGAATAAATTTAAAAAAGTTAGATGAAAATTAGACAACACTATTACCATCGATAGGGGTGGGTAAACAGGTTCGGGAACTACGAGTCGAAACGGAATTGCATGGTTCGGGCTAGTTAGTGCCTCGTCCAAAATTTTATCTTTAAAAACAAGTCGGGCCGGGGTGAGTCCATTAGCAAAACAAGTTGGGCGAGTTACTAACATTTAGAAAGGAGTAGACCCGAACCGGCCGTTTCTTTTCATTTCATAATATTATAAATATACAAAGTATTAAATAAATTAAAGTATACTCCGCGTTGCATTTTAGTCTTTTCATCAAATTATATAAATAAATAAGTTATATATCGCATATTCAATATTCTATTAATAAAATTGTGTGTGTGTGTGTGTGTGTATGTATAACATAATTACTTAAATTTTAGTCATCAATCACATTTTTTCTTATATGTTTTACAAATTCAATTAGTGAAAATCTTGTATTGATTGAATATTACTTCCCCCGTCCGCCATAGATCTTTTGGGACTATTGGGACTATTCATAAGGTAAAATTTAACTCACTTTGTTGGTTTATTTTACTATTCATTTCATAAAATATAGTATTGTCATCTTTAGTTTTATAGATCATTTCATGTATCTTTTTACTATATAAAATTTTATATTTTAATTTTCACACCTATAATTGAATACGCTGAATTGAAAATAAAGTCAGTCAACACTTATAATGCGTAATGGGAAGATCTTAGGTGGACAGAGAAAGTATAACTTATTTTTATTTCGTTTGTAAAAATCATGGATTAATTTCAAAAAGTGTATTATTCTATTGATTATTCTCATATATGTTGTTTATTTGTTTATGTTATATTTTAAATTATTAATTTAATAGAGATGCACAGACCCACAAAACTGAATCATTTGAAACAAGCCAGGTTAGGTTGAGTTCCAAATATTTGTTTCCACAAGACGACCTGTTTCGCCCCGTTTATTCGAAAACAAGTCGAGACGGGTCCTATGAAAAACCGGCCCGATTCGACCCATTCCCACCCCTAACCACAGTACCTCAAAGGCTCCCGCCGATTGTGGGTAAAAGGGATTGAATGTATGCGTGTAGTCTGACATCGATGTTTAAAACAAAAAGTGAGTTAGAAGAAAAAAATGAGTTAAAAATTGGAAAGAGTCAGAAGAAAATAGAAAAAGAATTAAAGAAACAAACTTCAAAGAGTTGGAAGAAAACATAAAAAGTTAAAGAATTGAATTAGAATAAACTCGAAAAAGCTTAAGGAATTTAATAAAAGTTAAAAATGCTGAAAAAAACAAATGTTGAAATGAATATTACTCATTCTATATGTAATTTCATACTTTAATAAAAATAAATTATTAAAATAATCTATACTTTCATTTATTGATCAATTTTTTCTTTGGTCACACCATCATGTGTAAAATAATGTTTTTGCGACTCAAATATATTGTTATTTTTTCTGATAGTTTTTATTGAATAATCAGAATAATTGTATTGATTAAGGATATTGAAAGATACGTCAGAGTAAGTATAGAAGATTTCTTAACATACTTAGGAGCCAAATATAGAAGTTAACTTGTAGAAAATAAGAGAAAATATTTCTGTGTTTTGAATTGGCTTCTGAATTAGTTTTTGAATACAAAGATCTAACCCTCTTTATATAGGGAGAGGGTAAAGTAAACAAGGAAATTTCTATTCATACTAAAATAAGAATTAAACAAACTAGGAAAGATACTAAATACTAAACCTAATCCAACTAGGAAAGATACTAAACTTAATCCCAAATGGATTCGGTTTCCTTCTTCAATCTCGTTTCCTTCTTCTGTCTCTAACACTTTCCTTATTCAATCTCGCTTCCTTCTTCTATCTCTAACACCCCCCTCAAGCTGGAACACGGGAGTTCAACATGCACAGCTTGGACATAAAAAAACGTTTCCTCGGTTCGCGCATTTGCGCAAGCTTCTTTGGCAGGTCACACGTGCAATTCCTACACGTACAAATTGGGAACTGCTCCAAACCACGGAAACTGAGCAACGATCAATGGACGCGATGCCGGGTGATCGTGAACAATAGCCGCGATCAAGAGAAACTGCTATCAGGACGGTCGACCCATTCAACCGTTGCTCAGCAATGGTCGACCGTTCTAGCACTTCGGCAGCAGCAACAGGCGACGATCGATGGACGCGATGCCGGTCGATCGTAAATAGCAGACGCGGAAAGAGTTGTTTGTCTTTGTAGAACAACCCTTGTCCAACCACTTCTTCAAGAATGATGGTAGGGCGGAATTTCTCGACAGAAATGTTTTTCGTTGAAGGAGTTCATGATATTCTTTAGTGAGGGAGAACCATCAAAGAAAATAAAAAAATAATATCCCGCCGGTAGGCATTAAATTGTATGTGCCCATCGGCAGGGGAAAAAGCGTGTTTGAGGTCTCAAAAATTCAAAACTTGCTCTCATACCATGTAGAAAATAAGAGAGAAAATATTTCTGTGTATTGAATTGGCTTCTGAATTGGTTTTAAATACAAAGATCTAACCCTCTTTATATAGAAAGAGAGTAAACTAACCAATGAAATTTCTATTCCTACTAAAATAAGAATTAAACAAACTAGGAAAGATACTAAATACTAAACCTAATCCAACTAGGAAATATACTAAACCTAATCTCAAAGGGATTCGGTTTCCTTCTTCAATCCCGTTTCCTTATTCTGTCTCTAACACTTTCCTTCTTCAATCTCGCTTCTTTATTCTATCTCTAACAAAATTCTACCATAACCAATTCTGACTATTCTTAATTGTCTAACAATTACTCACGTCGTGTCACAAGCAAAAGCTTAAACGGAAATGTCAAAAATGCAGCTTCAACAGTGGTTTAGTGAGCAAATCAATAAGTTGATTGATCTTTAGAGAAAACATGTGAAACACGCATAGTGCCAGCAATGACTTGTTCATGAACAAAGTGACAATTTGTACCCACGTGCTTCATACGTTTATGAAAAATAGAATTCTAGTGAGACATATGGTAGATTGAATATCATTAAGAAAAAGTTGTTGAGGAGAGACGAGTATACACAGATCATGAAGAACATTAATGTGATACATCACTTTTGAGGCTGCGGATGATTGTGCTCTATACTAAGCTTCAGTTGGGGATTTTTGACTCATGAGTTTGCTTCTCTGTACTCCAGGATATCATTTCATGATCAAGATAAACAAGATAACATGTGAAGGAGCGCCCATCTCTCATATCATTTGCCTAATCAGAGTCTGAATATGCTCGTAGTTGGAGGTCACTATAATTAACACAAGACCTTTGTAAACTGTCCCTTTTGTGAACCGCATAATCTGCTTCAAATTTTAGAAGTCATTTTCTGTATGGGTATGATGGATGTGTCGATAGACATAATTCACGACAAATTGAATCTTAGGCCAAGTAGTGGTGAGATATTGAAAACCTCCAACCAGACTTCGGGACAGTGTAGAATTAGCAAATGGTTCGGCCTTCATCCTAACAGTGAAGAAAGAAAGAGACTAGAAAATCAACAAAAAATGAACTTCGATGAAAAAAAGAAAACAAAGAATAGAAAAAAAGAAAGTAAAATACAATAATAGAAAAAAGGAAATAAAAAAAGAATAACAGTATGTTTTATAGAAAAAAGGAAATGAATAAATGTAGGGAATTTGTTAGATAGTGATACAAAAAGTCCAGAGTCTGTATTTTTTGGCCAAATAGAATAAAAAAATAAGGACATTTAGTTTGTTAGTCAGAAAATAAATGTGTTTAGCTTGAGACAAATAAAATATACATCAACTCTTTTTTATTTTATTGTTTTTTTCAAAAACAAAAAAAAGTTGATTTTCAAACATATTTAAAAAAATAGCTTAATTTCATTTATGAAAAAAAAGAATAAAAAGGGGAAACAATTAAAAAAAGAGAAGGGTATTAGTACCCATTTCTAAAATTACATGGACACCGGAGCTACTTGTCCAAGATTTGAAGACAATTTTAGTCAAGTAGAAATTGACGTACTGATCCACGAGAGATAACAACATAATTTTGATAACATGAAGATAACAATGCATATTTACCCCCCAATGACATTGTTCAAATAAACTTTTTGGTATTTTGATGACATTTTGCATATATCTAAAAATAGTACTTAATCATAAATCCCAACTTTGTCAATTAGGAGTGACACAATCCGTGATACCGTCGAAAATTATTATGAATCGCGCTTATTAAAACGATAAAATACCGGTATGTAATGATCTCAAAATTATTCGGTATTATTCTATTTTGGAACTGTTCTCTATTTAGAAAAAAAGAACTATTATTTCTATTTAGAGTGATTTACTATTCACATTTAGTATGATATGAAAAAATACATTTCATTTAAAAACAAAATAATCAATCTGTTACTTTACGATCTATTTCTTTGTATAAAAAAAGACTTCTTATTTTATTTTTGAAACATTCCTACATAAGATTTTTTTTTATTTATAGAAAACTTTAAGTGTCTCATGATCAATTTTTTTTCTCTACATCACTCTCAACAATGCATTTCCATTTTTATTAAAAGCATTGAATAGGACTAAAACATATGTTATTTCCCAATGTAGGACTTAAATTTTTTTATTCTCTAAATAAGATTTAATAATGACTAATGAGAAGAATAATGTCCAAGTGATGATGAACATTTATGTGAATAATGATTAATAGATAATGACCAATGATCGTACATTAAAAAAAAACATATGATCTTATATTGAGAAAGTCATAATATTTTAGTTTTATTTAGGTCGTAAAAGTGAAATTTGTATCAAGAGGGAGGGAGTATATTTTTCTTGGTCCACTCTCCACCGCCAATGAAAATGGAATTCCAAAATCCGCACCAAAGACGCCACCCGTTTGCTCCTCGGCTCCCAACGTTTTAGAAAAAAATTCAATTCCTTTTTTATTTTGTCGCTTGACCAAACGAACAGAGCCTTTTTTTACCCTTCTCCTTTCCCCTTTTAAACTCTTGACTTGGGGAACGGGAAATCTCACCATTCCCACGTGCTTTTCCCTCCATCCACACTCATTGATTCTCCACCGCTTCAATCGCCGTGAATCCGATTTCAAATCAAGCTCCGTGTTGCAGACACGAAGAAGAAGAAGAAGGAGACGTTGATGGCGATGAACGGGGGAGAAATCAACTCTCAGATGATGAAGGTCGTCAAGGGAGAGTTCGGCTACGTGCTCGAAGATGTTCCTCACCTCTCCGATTACATCTCCGATCTCCCTGTAATGTTCGCTCTCTCTGATCCTCTTGATTCACGCATACGCGCCGTTTATGAACTATATACGTGATCATAGTGTGTTTAGCTTGAGTGTTTTGTGCTTTGCTTTTTGATTTTTTGTGTTTTGAAGTGTACAGTTCAGTATGACTCTTGTATGCTCCGAACTTGTGTTCACTTCATAGTTGATACCATGAGAAATGAACTTTTTAGTTTGAAGTGTGTGGAATTATCTCTGTGCATAATGCTATGCCAACACCTTCTCACTGCACTATGGCGGAGCGCGGTGGTGGGGAATTATATCTGGTTGGGGTATTTCGCGGCCTCCATTTAGTGAAGGAGCCAGAAAGTACATATGAGGGGCCAAAATTAAGCTAGTAAAAGTAAGTATTAATTGGCTGGACATTTTATTTTTAGACTGAGCTAATATATTACTACTTTTACTAGTAGTATTCAATTATTTCGAAGATGATCAAACGTTATATATATTTCAAAAAATATAAAGGTATATATACATCTAGCTCCGTCACGGTCTCCATTGCTGTATAATATCAGATACCTTCCAGTCTCAACGCTGCTCTATGCATTTTCCCAGTTAGGCCTACCTAATTCAACTTAGATTTTATAAACCCTAGTTATTCCCGCCTAGGGGTTTGGCCACAGTTTGTGCTTTCTGCTTTTTCACAACATTGGTTGCTTGGGAAAGAAGTAAAGTTTTGAATTTTTAGGAATTACTGTGATTTTTGTTATGTGATTAAATGAAATTGTATGTACTTCCTGCCCTCTTTGATTCATCATACTTGGATTTGAGCCAGCAATGGTATAATTATGACAAACACAACCAATGCAGGTCAAAGTAATAATAGAGACCTTCATTTATCAATTAAGGAGTACTAGATAACTTGGATTTCATACTCTTTTTGTTGGAGGAAAATAATTTGCTACAGAAAAGAGGTCATATGTTGAATGAAATGATAAGCTAGAAATGTAAGAATGTAAGATCAAGGGTATATACCAACTGGATTGATCTCTACAAGTATATTATGAAGATCTCTTTAAATGTCCTCAAGCTTGGCATTGATTTGTATCCTTGTTTGTAAAATGAGCTCTGTGATTGCTTATGTATACCTATCCAGAAATGCTACATTAAAAATTTCAGTCAAGCCAATTTCTTTTAATATTTCTTAATATTTTGGTTTATATGCATATTTACATCAGGAAGGGTTATTTGAGATTTCCCTCTTTAAGATTATGGGATCCTCACGCATTTTGGTTAGTAATTAACTATTTGGGTTACTTGGGTTAATGCAGACTTATCCAAACCCACTGCGGTCTAATCCTGCATATTCAGTTGTCAAGTAAGTTTTATTTTATTTTTATATTTTGGGTAAACCGTTGGAAAAAGTTACATTATCTGGACATTTGCCATTACTTATTACTTCTTGTCTTCACACTGTCGGTTTCCATGGTTTCAGGCAATACTTTGTTGACATGGAGGATACAGTTCCCAAAAAGGTTGTTTCTTCCATTCAACTTGCTCAGTTAATGTCATTCTTATTTTTTTATGACTACAAGGTTCATTTAATGGTACCAAGGGGTTTGTGCTAAAACTGTCCATAGAATTGTCATCTTTTTCACTTTTATGTCGCGTACGATCTGGACGGAGTCCTTACGCAGTTACACTTCCATGTTGGTCTTTGTAGATTGTTGTTCACAGTGATAGTCCAAGAGGGGTCCATTTTAGACGCGCTGGTCCTCGTCAAAAGGTATGTTCCATGATCTTATAATTTCATTAATTAATAACATTATGAATAATTTTAGTCTTTCTTTAACATGTGTTTAAAGCATACTGCAGGTGTGTTTTAGTTCAGATGATGTGCATGCTTGCATTGTAACATGTGGTGGTTTATGTCCTGGGCTAAATACTGTGATCAGGGAAATTGTTCACAGCCTTGACTACATGTATGGTGTCAGAAAAATCATTGGAATAGAAGTAAGTTATTCATGTAATCCACAGAATATTCTTAAATTTATGCCCTTTATGTCTTTAATTTGCACGTGTAGTATTTTAAAAATTGGAAGTGTTAAACTGAATGTATGTATATATGCGCAACTCATATGCACAACTCTACACTAGTTCTAAATTACACTAGAAAGTTACAATTTAAAAAAAAAAGCAATGAGAACTGATCTAATCTTGCCAAAATCACCCTTATTTATGGATTATCTGCACATTTAATACAAAATGTTTTTAATCCCCTTTCCATGTTTTCAAATATGCCCCGTACTTAATTATCCAAAGGGTAAAACATGAAAAGAAATACTCCCTCCGTCCCCCTAAGATGTTCTCATTTTGACTTTTGGTGGTTTTTAAGGAGAGTTGAAAAAATGTGAAAGTTTACCATAATACCCTTAATGAAAAATGGGTGGAGTGTATTAAATGAGGTGGGTGAGGTGTAATAAATAAAGTAAGTGGGGGTAGTTATGGTATTTTAATTGTTAAAAAATGAAATGAGAAGATCTATTGTGGACAAAGAAAAAGGGCTATTGGGAAGATCTATGGGGGACGGAGGGAGTATTAGATTTCCCATATCTTTACTAAATGGATTCATAAAGCCGGCTAGGTTATTTTAACATTGGCCACCAGTGTCAAAATAATCAAAGTGGCATAAAAGAGGCCCAAAAAAAATTATTAATTGGACAAGCAAATTGGACCAAAGGAGATGTATTGGTTTAACATGGAGGCATCAATGATGCCAACTGAGCTTTGTGTAAAGTAGAGAAAGGCGAGACCTTGCGTATATGAGAACTGTATTCTTTTCACTTGAACCATGTTGTTTTATTCTGTCAGTTAACATTGTGTACCTCGGTCTTACAGTATTATCTAGTATAAGCTCCAACATATATTGATTTTATCAGACTGTTCATAATACTATGTATTTAGGTGGTTTACTTATATTTTTTCTAGAGCACGTTGCATGGTTATATGTTGATTCCTGATAAGGTTCTCCATCATCATCATCATTTTCTTCTTCTTAGGGAGGCTACCGGGGATTTTATGCTAAGAATACCATTGATTTGACTCCAAAGCTTGTAAATAATATACATAAACGTGGTGGCACAATCCTTGGATCATCGCGTGGGGGTCACGACACCAAAAAAATTGTTGAAAATATACAGGACCGTGGGATTAATCAGGTAACCAGGGATCTCCTCCAGCAGTATACCTTATTTTTCTTTCTGATAACCTTGTTGTGAACGTACTAAAAAATCTTTCCTGTTCCCTGCAATGTATTATTTGTGTTATTGGTTCAGGTCTATATTATTGGTGGGGATGGAACCCAAAAAGGAGCAGCTGCTATCTATGAGGTTAGATGACGGGGCACTTTTAACTGTGAAGATGGATCTATGACTTAAAAAAATTCATCTTAATTCTACTCACATTGCCTGTACTTAGTTGTCCACTTTTTTTTGGGATGTCTGGAATTGATTGTACACTTCCTTTATTTGGAAAACAAATTATGATGCAATACCCAAAATGGCCCTAAAGAGCATAATAAGCTTGTTGTCAACAACTGAGGCCAAGCAAAATTACCATTGCTCATTTGTCAACTCACCCTGTTCCTTAAATTCGAGGGGTTAGGACAAGTGGACAACTAAATCCAAATGGAGTGATAATAATAATAATAATAATACTAATAATAATAATAGTAATAGTAATAATAATAAGCATATACCCTGTTTTCATCTTACATGAAGTTTCAGACTTTGCTTTTCCACCATTTTTGTTGAACATTATACCATTTTTGTTGAGCATATCCCTATTTGCATTGGAGTTTGACATTTTGAAGCATATCTCGTTTATGTGTAATATATATCGGGCATGTCTTCTCAAGTGAAGTGGATCAATTTCAATCATTATGAAAACTAACCAATCCACACAAAACGAATATATTTTTCTCATCATAATGCATTAATGCCTATCATAATTCATTAATTCATATACTCCGTACATCTTAATAGTTGTTACTATAATAATACTCCCTCCGTCCCACTTTAGATTACAATATTCCCTTTTTGTTGAAATTAAGGAAGAGTCAAATCAAATTTTTTTCTCCAAATTACCCCCCAAATCCCCCAAATATCCTTCCTATCACATGGATGAATAGTGTGAATAGTGGCTGGCAGAAAAGAAAAGGGAAGGGTAAAAGAGTCAAATCACTATAAAGTTATTGACTTTGTAATCCTTTTTGGGACAAAAATGTGAGGGAATATTGTAATATATTTCGGGACGGAGGGAGTATTAGTTTTATACTACACTAGCAGAATCCAAATATTTTCTCTAATTCTTATGGTAGGGCTAGAAATTTTTCGAAGCCTTTCTCTCCCAGGCATAATTATTTCACTGAGAGCATGATAATTTATGAACTTGATGTAGATACAACTCATACAATTAAGTCATACAACAGACAGATATGTTTTTTTTTCTATTTTAAGTGAAGCCATAGTTTTGAATGATAGTTCTGTGTACGAGTCATTTATGAGAACCATGATCTTTGTGTTGCAGGAAGTAAGGCGGCGTGGTCTCAAAGTTTCTGTTGCTGGTATTCCCAAGACAATTGATAATGATATTCCGGTAATTCTCGTTCCTTCAAGGCATGGTATTTTTTTACTCTTTTTTACTCTTATTTTACTTTAAGCATCAATATCATATACTGTATTATTGTAATATTTGCAGCTTATTGGTTATATTACATAACATATATGTTATGGAAGAACTTTACTTAACACTACATAAATTTCTCCTGATTCACTTGCACTGCCACATCTCATTTATTCTGAGTGTTGCATTTGAAACAATTTCCTAATAGAATCATTAATATTATTAAATGTCACCATTTTTTACACTGCTCAAAAACAATTTAAGGCCCAGACCAGTAGTCTGGAGCATTTCTTGTGCGTAGTATATATTTTAAATGGTGTTATTTCCATCATATCCGATGGAGCCAAAAATTCACTATTTTTTGGCTTTGGGGTGTGATGGAATAAAGCAAAATAGCTCTTAACTGTTTGTGCTTTAATTAATGAAGTAGCAGGTAGTTACTAGTTAATCAATGCAACTTTCGATGCTGAGCCGGGGGTCTCTTTGGAAACAACCTCTCTACTTTCGAGTAGAGGTAAGGTCTGCGTACACACACACCCTCCCCAAACCCTGCTCTTGTAGGATTCAACTGGGTTGTTGTTGTATATTTTAAATGGTGCTTGACTGCTTGTGGATGTTGTACAGGGGAAGGTAAAGACATTTCTATTGATCTATCGGCTGAATAATACATTGTCCACTGTTTTCATGTGTTATCAGGTAATTGACAAGTCGTTTGGTTTTGATACCGCTGTGGAAGAGGCTCAACGTGCCATCAATGCAGCTCATGTTGAAGCTGAAAGCGCTGAAAATGGTATTGGTTTGGTGAAGCTAATGGGCCGCTATAGTGGTAAGATTCACCTTGAGTATTCGACTTTCTTTCTTGAATGCATTGCTTTGAGGAACACATTTTTTGGTTATCCTTTCCTCTTTTTGGTTTTCGTAACAGATACATACCAATAAATTGCCGTAAATTACATTTATGCATTGTTCTTGTTACTTGGCTTGCAAACTACTTTTTTTAGTACTATTGACTCTGTTACAATATAATATCTGTTCATATGCAAACTACTTTTAATGCAAAAAATGGTTTCTGACTTATTCGGTTGCAGGATTCATTGCAATGTATGCAACTTTGGCCAGCAGAGATGTAGATTGCTGTTTGATTCCAGAATCCCCCTTCTATCTTGAAGGACAGGGTGGGCTTCTTGAGTACATCGAAAAACGGCTCAGAGAAAATGGGCACATGGTAATCGTGATAGCTGAAGGAGCTGGGCAGGAGCTTCTTGCTGCCGAGACCTTAAATGCCAAATCCGAGCAAGATGCTTCTGGAAACCATCTTCTCCGAGATGTGGGTATGTGGCTTTCTGAGAAAATCAAGGTATATGATAATGTCATCCCAAATTTGTTTTTTGTATTTGTGGTTACTTATAAATCTCATATCTTGATAGGATTACTCAATAAACACAACGTTACACTATATACAATTTGGTAACATGTGATTTGCTTGTCTTGCAGGACTATTCTAAAAAGAGACAATTTCCAATTACTCTTAAATACATAGGTTGTATATCATCACAACTACGGCTATTCTTTTTTTCCAGCTATGCTCTTCTTCAAATCGTCTCAGCTTAATAGGCATATTTTGCAGATCCAACTTATATGATCCGTGCCATCCCAAGCAATGCATCTGACAATGTGTATTGTGCATTGCTTGCTCAAAGTGCTGTGCATGGAGCGATGGCTGGGTTTACGGGCTTCACATGTGGGCTTGTCAATGGTCGCCAAACTTACATCCCGTTCAACGTAAGTTTTACATTTTGTCTACTACTCTACTCTATTCTTTCTTTCTTGTAGGTGGTGTGGTTTGGATGGGAAACTTGTGATTTATTTATTAATAATATACGAAATATACTCCATCCGCCCCAAGATTATGACACACTTTGACCTTGTACAATAGTTAATGAAGTGAAAACCATGTTGCTAGTAAAAATGTAAAAGAGAAAACGATAAACATGGTTGAAGGCTCATTCATATCTTCCTCATAAATCAATATGAGGTTGTTGAGTATTGAACATGTAACCTATAGATTAACAAGGTTGTGATACCATGTCAAGTAGTCAACTCAACCAAAAACTTATCCAACATCACCGAAAACGTAAGTTGATTGTTGAAGGTTCGAGAAATACTTTAAACTCTTACTAAATGAGAAACAATTTTGGGACATGTACGAAAAAGAAAAGTGAGAACATAAGTTTGGGCGCAGTGCATATATTTTGCCACCACACAAAAATCCAATATTTCAACTACGAATCTTTTTTTTTCTTCAGTTTATACCCTAATCCATAAACTCCAAATGAACTCCTACGCGTAACCTTATATCCTAAATCAACCCCCTAAATCACAAACCATATACCTCCTCTGTCCCAAAATGGATTACACTCTTTACTATTCCAGTATCACGATAACTTTTATTTATTTGTGTGTTTTCATTGATTATTTGGCATGTTTATGTGCAATTGCCACCATCACTAACAAATTCCATCCCCACACACTTGCAGCGCATCATAGAGCGGCAAAACAAGGTTGTGATTACCGACCGTATGTGGGCCCGTCTCCTTTCTTCAACGAACCAGCCAAGCTTCTTGTGCCCGAACATGGTGGGGAGCTCCGGGAGGGAGGAGGAGGGCGTGCAAAGCCAGCCCGTGGCGCTGGAGAATGGCAAAACGCACGACATAGGTTCCATGTTGTGAAGGAACAAAAAAAGGGCACACGCTTTTTTTTGTTAATTAATTTATTAATCAACCACAGTACTATAGTCTATAATTCTATATATTTTGATATCTTAAAGTCTTAATGTCTCCTTGCATCAAAAATCTGCCTCTCCATCCCGCTGGAATTTGTCTACTACCTTAGCTTACACAAATAATAATAATAATAGTAATAATAATAGTAAGGGGTTGTGCTTTATTTTGATTCACTTTACTCTTCATATGAAAAATGGACTGCTGATATTGCGCTTTTAGGGAGGGTGAAGTTGTTATTTTAGTCTTATGTGTGGATGTAAAATGGAAAGTGTTAATAAGTTTTTTAAGTACCACATTGAGAAAATGGACAAAATCCACCGGGATGAAGGGAGTAGTAGTGAGATAGTGTTGATAAAGAATATGTTCTCTTTGTTTGATTGGATATGATTTGATTTTATAATGGTATATATGATCTCGCCTAATTTGATTATAGTTGTATTTAAAGTTGTTTTTGATATGGTGGTTTGGTCTAATATGATTTTAATAAAAATAAGGAATAAGAGTCAAAGAACAAATTCAAAGTCCAAGCCATTGAGCTTCCAAGATTTCCATGAGTTGGAATTGCTACTTTGCTTACATTTACTAGGGTTCTAGAAAAAATTAAAAAATTCTGGTGCTAAATGTAATAAAAATAGGTTGAAACAAGTCCAAAGTCCACTGGGCTTCCATTATTTCCATGAGTTGGGATTGCTGCTTTGCTTACTTTTGCTAGGATTCTAGAAAAAATAAAAACATTTTGAGGCAAAGTATTTTTAGAATTTATTTTGTTTGGTATTGTATAGAGTATTTTCCTACCGTTACAATGACATTGGAATCCAAAATTATGTTATAACATCAAACACTTTAATGTAAGTTATATGTTTACTATATACAGAATCAAACTTTAACTATTTTTTTACTTATTTTTGCTTGCTACTCATTTGTGTGTGGAATTTGTAAAATAATTAAACTTTAACTATTTTTTACATAGTCTTATCAACTTTTGTTTTGTAAAATTTTTGATATAATTTTTAAATATATAAATTTTATTTTTTTTAATTTCATACCAATTTTCAAATAAATAGATTTAAAAATAACTTCATTCAAATCTCGTAAACAACAATAGACAATTTAAATTGTGATGGAGAGAGTATAATCTTTACTTCTTCTGTCTCAATTTAAATCATCTATTTCGACATATGATATTTGACTAAAGCTGTTTTGAAATTATTTATATAAAAAAATCTGCAAATAAAAAAATTAAATACTTAAAAGGTACATCAAAAGATCTACAAATTGGTTCTAAAACAGCGTGATACTCATTCTAAAATAATGCAGTACTCATTTTCACACATTGGTTCAATATAATAATAATATTCATTTACAAATAATGTAGTGTTCATTCTGAAACAAAACATTACTCATTCTCAAATTTTCTTATGTAAAATAAAATTTATATCATAAATAATTTCTTGATTGTATCCAAAATTGGGTACAACTGGATGCATAATATAATTTGCCACTTAATTTAGAACGGAGTAGTAACTTTTTATTTTTATACTCCGTACTAATGTATAAGTAAAACATTTTTTTTTAAATTACACCTTATCTAAAGTATTTAATTTTAAAATAATTTTTTGCAAGAATTAAATTTTTGGGAGGGGGGAAGTATATACTTGTTGGAACATTTATATACTCCTTACTTTGGAACATTCCACAATCCCCATTATAAAATTAGTTGTCTGCACGGGGGGCAAAGTAGCTCCCCGAAAATTTCTCCTACTCCAACAACCTCCAAACTTGACCAAATTCCCCGCCGGTCTTCAACCAATTTCTTCCTTCTAAATTATTCATTCAACCATCTTTCAATTCCCCCCACTCCATTCCATTGAAGACTTGCTTCTTTTTTTTAATTCTTTTTTCTGTCCATAGAAAACCTACGCAGAGCTTCCATTTTCATCCAATCAAGGAAAAACGATGAACGGGGGAGAAAGCAATTCGCAGATGATGAAGGTCGTTAAGGGAGCGTTTGGCTACGTGCTCGAAGACGTTCCTCACCTCACCGATTACATCCCCGATCTCCCTGTATGTTTCTCTTTCCCCGAGATGCGTTTTTTTTGGTTTGTGTTTATCAGCTATGTTTTTTTGAATATAAGAACATTTCCTGGGTCACAACCATATGAGTTTTTAATTGAATTGGTTCCTTGGTATCGGAGCTTTGTTAACTAAGAGGTCAAGGGTTCGAAACTCAGAGCCACCCAATTTTTTTAAAAAATTAAGGTTTCACGTGCTAAGGTCCGGAAAAGAACACGGGAGGGAGTCTTAGAATATAAGAAACATTTTCTGGGCCACGATAACTTGAGAAATGAACTCTTCTTCTTCAAATGTTGTGCATTGATTTGTGTATGCGTATAATAGATGCGGGGATAATGATATTCGTAATTACAGATTGTCTCTTCCATGCTTTCGGCTTGTTTTCTGCTTGATATGGTTGAAGTTGGGGTGTTGTGATTGTGAAAATGACTATTCTTCTTCAGAAGAAAAGAAAGCGATATTGTTACAAAAGAATTATGAAAATACCACTTGTTTTTATATGGAGTATTGTTTTCCTATTATTACGAGTAGTAATCTTAGTACTCCCTCTGTCTCAAAATCAAGTTTACTCTCTTTGGGCCGTGTCTATATAATGCATGCACCAATGTAATACATGAATTAGTACACGCTCCGTGATCCATGTATCTGTGTACACTAGGTCCACATGTCATACATGGCATACATATACAACACTCGCAAACAACAAACACATACGACAATGTGTTACAAGTATATAATTCCTCCTGTCGATAGAGCCATAGAGGGGACGCAGAGACAGTCACACATTCATTCCCATATCTCACATGTTCAGCGTTATCCCTTATTCTTGGAGCATAGTTCTTAGCTTTCTCTCTCTCTCTCTCGACCCCGATTTCCCGGAATCTGCCATTTCTATTCATTAGTAATACCAATAACTTTGGAATTAATTTTGTGATACATTGAATCCAAAATGTTGGCATTAAAAAAGATTCCTGTCAATTTCTTTCAGTACTTGAATGTTGCTTATGGTTTTCATTTATATGCATCTTCACATCCTCAACCATTTCTGTTTGAGCTTTCTGTATTTATGCATTCTTGTTATAGTTATTCTCTTGGGTTACTGCAGACTTATCCAAATCCATTGCGGTCCAATCCTGCATATTCAGTTGTAAAGTAAGTTGCATTTTATTTTTCATAGTTTTGCTGCACTGTAGCTTTTTACATTATTTGCACGGGCTTGGCTCTTTTGACACCGGGCTTGGGTGTCATAAAATGACATTGGACATTTGGGAGATCTATGGTTCTCTGTGAGGTCCGGGCCGGGGGGGGAGGGGGGTGCCCCCACTGTTTCCAACCATGAACAGTGTAGAGGCATTTCAGTGCCACCGAGGGGACTGGGATGGGGGTGGGACCCAGTTTGGCGCCCAACAGAGCTCCGTAGGGTGCCATATTATGACACTCAAACTTGGTGTCAAAAGAACCGCGGTGAATATGCA